TATGGGGCGGGGATGACGGCGGGCCGCAATCGCAGCGACGATTGTCTCTTCTTCTGGGGAAGAAGTTGGAGGAGGATTAGGGATGTAAGGGACTCTCATTGTGGGTATTGGAACACAATATGTGTGATATTGTCGAAGACTCAGAGTCAGAATCATGACAATGACGCTGTAAATAATATAAGTCATCGTATATCTCCATGACCATCACTTACCTTCTTCCAAGGCTCTTCAATTCCCTGCCAGCATCCCCCGCACACTCCGCGGTAACTCGCCGCGGAGACTGCCCGGGCCAATTACGTTGGTCATCCACGTCAGTAGCCGTCAAGTTCAGACTCGACGATAATCCCCCAGCTTTCGGATTTTCACCGTAAGCCAATTCTTCAGTTCTCTCTCCGCGATCCGAGCTTATCAGAAGATCGATTGTTATCTCTTTTCCCCTGGAAACATGGAGACCAATGACGAGCAAGGACAGGGACCGAGCTCCGCTCGCTCCAAGAAACAGCGGATGTCTCGCAAATATCGAGGTTTGACATGTGCCAATTGCCGCGCAAAGAAGGTCAGAACGCCGTCTATTCTTTATTTCTCGCTGAATATTAGCTTTTTATACGCTTGCTGACTTCACTGGCGATGTAGGTTCGATGTGAAGGGAGTCAACCGACCTGTAAAACATGCGAGGTCTACCATGTCGAATGTCGCTACGACAAACCCCCACCGCTGTCGCAAGTTGTTGCCATGGCGCGCAAGCTTCAAGAAGCTGAGGAGACCATTGAGCGCCTGCAGGGTGGTGACAGCTCCATCAATCATCAGAACATGGGAGCTTCCATTGCCGAGAGTGTAGCCCCGGCTTCAAGCTCCTTCGCTGCCGAAGACTTGCCAGCACGATTGCCCCTATCATCAGGACATGACATTGAGCCCACAGTGCTGGAAGCCTCGCCTGCCACACATCAAAGGCGCCTCCAAGATCCTCCTCGACCAGCCGCAGCTATCGACGGCACATCGCAAGACGGTTTGGCTATAGATCTCAGCGTGGATGAACATGGCAAGATATGCTATTACGGCCCAACATCTGCTGTCCATGAGCCTCTGGGTCTCGTATCACCGTCTACAAACTCGATGAGCCGCGGGGACGGATCTAAGAGGACTGATGTCCGCGCTTACCTGGTATCGCGAGCTCGAGAATCGACCATCTGGGAGGAGTTTGCCCTTGGAAATGCGTCACTCCAACTTGGGTTGCCGCGACAAATTATGGCAAAGCTTCTTCATCTGCACTGGACCTGGGTTGCTCCTATGTTTATGTGGGTGTACAGGCCGGCATTCATGCGTACGTATCTTGAACTGCTACAACACGACTCACATCTTGACTAACTTCTCTTGCCTTCAGGTGACATGACGACCGGCGGCCGTTACTACTCCGAACTTCTCCTCCTCGTGCTGTGCGCTCATGCCTCGAAATACTACGACAGTAACCACGCGCAACTACTCTTCTCCCGAGTTCGATTCCTCCTCGGTGACGAGATACAGAAGCCTAGTTCAATACCTACTATTCAAGCTCTTCTGCAATTGAGTGCTCGGGAACTCGCTCAAGGCTCCATCTCCCAGGCGTGGCTGTATAGCGGGATGGCGTTCAGAATGTCAGCCGACCTTGGATTGCAGCATAATGGGCCCGACATAGCGGACCTCAAGGGACTAGACCCAGTAGACTTGGAGATCCGGAAGAGGTTATTCTGGAGCTGCTATTTCTGGGACAAGTGAGCGACCCATTTGAAGGCTTATGCATCGTATTTGCTTACATGGACTTGCAGAGCTATCAGCCTTTACACAGGGAGACTTCCAGCGGTGACCGAGCTGCCGCAAAGCCCCATTGACTTCAGTATGCGCCCCAAGCCAATTAAGCCATTCCATTCTGATGTTATGTGCAGTGGATGACTCCGCAGAGTCCGATGTATGGTCACCATACTATGAAGACATTTCACCACTTACTCGACTAGCACCGAGCCAATACCCCGTGATGAAAAGTCATGCTGTGTCATGCTTCGCAAACTCGTGTAAACTCTCTGTCATCATCAATGATATAATAGTACAGCTCTACTCAAAACGAAGCAGAGCTATAACCGAGTCGTCGCTGAACGATATTAAGGCACGTCTGGAAACATGGCGTGCTGAGTCACCGGTGCATTTGCGTTATGACCCAGAGTATCTACCAACCATATGTCCGCCTCCTCATATCATCTCCCAGAAGTAAGCCCCCAACCTCCACATTGCTGAATGTTGTGTTGCTGACTTTGAACAGTCTCCTATACTTCACCACGGTCATCCTCGCCCATCGTCCATTCTGGTCAGCACCAGCTTACTATCAAGTCTGCATGAGCGCAGCACTGAGCATGGAGAAGCTGCTCCTGATGCTTGAATCAACCTTTGGATTTGAGAACATTACGTATCTTATGGGCTATTGCATCTACACTGGGGCTTCAGCAGTGCTCGAAGATGCGAAGAACAACGATGGAGCAACACACCCCACTATGCAGACCTTTCTCAGAGCCCTCAATCGTGGCATGGCAAAGTGTCCGCTTCTTGAGCGCAGCTTGCACATCATCATTAAAGGGTTGAAGCGAACTCCAGTTCAGCGGCCAGCACCTGATCAATCGTTGTCCGATAACACGGTCACTGCTACCATGAATAGCTACATTCCGGCCTTCCCGTATCTTGACCCCGTAAGCCCGAATGACTTTGACATGGATGCGTACTTGAATAGTATGAGCATGGATGCGATGGCGTCGTTGGATTGTTACCCAGAGCTACAGATTGATCTTGATGAAATGATGAGACATGCACCGGCTTAGGTAGTGTCAGCCGTCCCCTTTATTTATTTATTTCGAATACCTTTAATGAACCCACACAGAGTGTATAGCATGATGAGAAATGTGTCGTACTTTGAAGAAAGGATACGCGTCGTCGGAGGTATGCAGGCACTGGTATCATCTCCAAGTCTATAGATGACTTGAACAAACAGCTTCTTTTAGTTCCAAAAAGTGATGTTTTAACGGTATGTCGTTAATTTTCAAGGCTAGTTCTGTATACCAGTATTGGCCTCAGCTAGAGTATCCGCCTTAAGAGCTGGTCTATCGGCCTTTCCGGCAGTAGTCTGTGGCAAAGTCTTAGCAGCGATCCACGTTATGGCATGAAGAATGGCTACTTACGCCTCCGTCAACAGGCATGATCAGGCCTGTGATCCAGCCGGCTTCCTTGCTAGCCAAGAACAGGATAGCTATACGACCTTAGTGTAAGTCCTGAGTATCCAAGCGTTTGGGCTGACTTACCATAGCCAACATCCCAGCCAGTTCCCTCCTTCTTCATCAAGTTCTGGTTAATTCTTGCTTGTCTCATCTCATCTGTCATTCCGCGCCCTCTTGTCATTGGAGTATACACCATGCCAGGCGCGACACAGTTGACGCGGATATTCTCACGACCATGATGAGCTGCCATGGCTCGCGTCATCTGAATGATGGCACCCTTGGTGGTAGGGTACAGCAAGCTGGGGTTACCGCCGAGTACTACAGCACCCTGTTAGCTTGGACACGATGGGGGTGAATTAAGGATACTTACATCCACTAACTGATGACATGTTGACGATAGATCCACGGCCCTGCTTCCTCATTTCAGGAATTGCATATCGGCTCATCATGACCATACTTGTGACGTTGATGCGAAAGTCTCTGTCCCAAGCATCGAGGTTTATCGTCGTGGCGTCACCCATTGCACCGCCAACGCCAACTATTTTCGCTTGTCAGTACATGTCTCTCGATTTGATTACGCAGGCAATCCAGCCTACCAATATTGACAAGGATATGAAGAGCGCCCCATAGTTCAACAGTCTTGTCGATAGCATTCTTGCATGACTCTTCACTTGTGACATCCGCCTGTATCACCTCGGAAATACCGCCCTCCTCATCAATCATGCGCTTGGTCTCCTTCGCCCAGTCCACATTGAAGTCCACGAGAGCGACCTTGGCGCCATGGCGTGCGAGGAGGATGGCGGCCGCACGACCATTGCCAATCTCGCCTTTACAGGGGGTTAGTGTAATGGGGACAATAGTTGGGGTGCATCTTGAACTTACCATCCATGCGGGAGCCTGCACCCGTGACGATTGCCACATCTCCAGTGAAGTCGAAGGCTCGAGGTGGTGCCATTGTGGAGTAACTTAGTTGATGAAGTTGTTTTGACAAAATGTTGACTTTCACAAATATTGATGATTCACGATCCAAATCTATAGTAAAACAAGTTCATATAACTCACGAGATCAAGCATCGAAGAATAAATATTATTCACTCTTCAGCCAAACATTGAAAGATCGTCGCTCACCGCGGCCAATCGCCACTCTGTACTCATCCAGCTTCCGGGCACTCGGCGCGGGCAATCGCCGAAACCCCCTGGCCTCTGCGCTATTGAATACACCATCACGAGGGCCACGGTATGCGGGGAAATGATGGGGATGCCCAAAATCGGTCTTGCCCCGGAATTTTATCTGTCGATTGAGATCAGTCTCAATTTCATGCTAGCCAAGCCTATCGGCTCTGCGGCTCTTAGTGGCCTGCAGTAGGATGTTTTTATCACCGGACTGAGACACTCCGGCATTGACATGAATCCTTCTCATGGGCCCTCGCTAGTGGTCACCGTGTTTAGCGCACCAATTCGTTGATCGCTGGAATCGGTGCAACAGGCCAAGCTGTATCGACTATAATTGTTATGCTTGCTACGCGCCAAAGGATCGACTAGGCGAGAAGTCGCAAATCCCTTACCATTAAGTGGACGAAAAGATTGTAGGTAGCGACTACTGAACTGTAGGGGGACAGTTCTTGTGCAATACGTTCTTTGAACAACTTCAACGCAGGGGAGAGAGATGACACGAGCCTAAATCGCCAATTGGAACTCGAATGATAGTGTACAAGTCGACAGGGAATCTAATTCATCGCCTATTTTTCATCTAACCGTCTTACAAAAGCTATTGCGACAACCAATAATTGAACCATGCTACGATACCTGCCAGGCTCTGTTCCTTTACCCATCCTATTCCGTGTCAGTAGGCCTCAAGGTACGCCTCAAACATGGAACTTACGCTGGTAAGGATCTTTGGGATCACCTCTCAAAGCAAATCCGTGCTCAACACCAGAAAATACTTGATAGTGAAAGACTTTCTTGTTGGTTTGTAGAATATCCAGCGCGCGACGCCGGGACGGCACATCAAACGTGTGATCAACTTCCGAGCATGAGAGAAATAAAGGCTCTATAAAATATTAGCAAGGCTGAGAGAGGGCTGCAAAAGAAAGAAGAGTGTACTCTTGAGATCTGTAAAATGATGTTCCTTGAGGAACGCTGGGTGAGCAAAAGCGCCAACTGTTACCGTATCACCTTTCAGCTCATTGCACACGTAAGGCGCTCCGAAGCAGTAGCCGACACAAGCAAACTTTGTTGTGTTTGTTCCATAGCTCTTCTTCACGGCAGCCACCCATTTGGGAACAGCGACATCCGCAAAGGCAGTGTGCTTGCGCTTCCAGGCTTCGTAGTCAAAGTCAGGATTCTGGGTATGCCGGTCTTTGCGATGATTCCAAACAGGGTCCTGTATCATCGTTAGTCTCTGATCTAAGCGCTGTATGTCTGCCTGGACCTACCCCACGAAAGTAGTCGAGCCCCAAGACTAGATAACCTGCATCTGCGAAAGCATCCATGACTAACAGCCCATTGGGGAACATGCCCCATACATCTGGAAAGTACAGTAGTATGTTTCCATTTGCTTTTTCTGGTGCTGGTTTTGAGATGTATGTTTCGACGTCTGCGATGGTTTCCCAAGTCCCTCTTGACTCGCCCTCATGGATCGTGCCTTTAAGACAGCAGCTACCACTCGGTTTAGCAAGGTATTGCTCGCTGGTGGCTTGTTTCGATGATGACTGCCCCATAGTGTGATAAATTGATTATTTGAAAATACTTCAAAGGGTGTTGGAAGATGCAAGGGCGTAGTTATTCGGAAAGCCCGTCCACGGTCTCATGCGAGCTGCTAGTTAACAATTACACAATTCCATGTTTAATTAACACCAGTGGCGCTCTGAACAATCTCCATCGGTTTGCAGCCGCGGAGACTGGCCGTGGGGATACTCCAGTAGTTCACCGATGATGTTCAATTGGCCAATGCCATGCGGAGTCGAACCAGGCCCCATGGGGTAAAGGCGGAGAAGTTGCATGCTACCCCAGGTTGTCCAGGTTTTTGCTTTACTTTGCGACCATGCGCTGGATAAATACTACCCCAGCGTCCCCTTGTCCAGTCTCAGTCTTCAATCCATTCTACCCTCCATCCTCTCCTGACTTGACTTAACTTGAGCAATAAGACTTTCAGTAGCAATGTCGGACACGCCTAAGCCTATCGTTGAGTCACCCCCTAGTGTTGAGGCCATTGAGGACTCGGAGCTCAAGGGCGGTCGAAACGACATGGGCGCTCATGACCGGGAGAATGCTGTTGGTTACAGCGAGTACCTTGAAGCTCGCGACATTGAGTTCTCAGATGCTGAGGTAGGCTGAACACTCCTTGGATACACTACTGCGTTCGCTGACAAATCTATAGGCAAAGAAACTGCGATGGAAACTCGATCTCTTTATCCTCCCCATGTTCCTCATCACTCAAGCGCTTCAGTTCATGGATAAAACCTCTCTCAACTATGCCAACCTCTTCGGATATCAGGACGCTCTTGGCCTCAAAGGCAACCAATTCAACTACCTCTCTGCAAGTCGGTGATCCTCGCATCCTCTCGCACGGTCGATTATTAATACAGGTGTACAGTGGTCTATGCTGGTTATTTCTTTGGCCAATATCCTTGCGGATGGCTCATTGGTCGCTTCCCTGCGCAAAAGGTCATGGCTATCAGCGTCTTCCTGTGGGGTCTCATGGTCATCATCATGACCCAGAGCCGCGACTATTCGAGTGCTCTGGCAGTGCGGTTCATCATGGGTGTATTTGAGGCTGCTGTTACACCTGGGTTAACACTCATGACCGGTTTCTGGTACACCCGACGAGAGATCCCACTTCGCCAGTGTATTTGGTACTCGTCTCTGGGTTGGGGTGGCATTGTAAGTCTCAAATAGAGTCCGGTATCCAAAGTCGTGTTGCTAATGACTGGACTTATGTAGGTTGGTTCATACATCTCCATGGGAGTCTCCAAGCTTCCCGTCGACCTCAAGCCTGAGCGATGGGAGCTGATATTCTACATCGTAAGTCACCGTTACGTTTAACAACATCAGGACACAGCTAACATGTCAGCAGCTCGGTGGCGCCACTTGTCTTTGGGCTTTTGTCATCTGGTTCCTCCTCCCCGATTCGCCTTCCAACGCACGATTCCTCAACCACCGAGAGCGTCTCATTGCAGTCAAGAGAGTCGCATCCAATGAGACGGGTATCAAGAATAAGGCATTCGATAAGGATCAGGTCGTCCTTGGCTTCACTGATCCCAAGACCCTTCTGCTCTTTACCTCGGTCTTTGCTGCGTAAGTAAAATCATTGTCACGACAAAGGATTGACCATTGTCTAATAAACGATTTACAGCGCCATCCCTAATGGTGTTGTCAACTCCTTCTCGACCATCATCATCCGCGACATGGGATTTAGCACCACCAGGACTACTCAGCTAAAGTCTGTTGGAGATGCTGTCCAGATCATCGGCTTGATCATTGGTGGAAGCGTCATTCTCAATGTTCCCAACTGTTAGTCAAACCATCTTTAGGAAGCACCCAGCGAGTCAGCTAACAATAACCAGCTCGTCTACTCACTGCTACGGTTGCCAACATGCTTTGCACAATCTCTGCTGCTTGCATGGCCTACCTACCCCGCGATAACACTTGGGGCCGGCTTGTATGTTTCTGGCTGGTCAACACCCAGTCTATTGGCTTCACTGTGTCTCTGACCACCATTTCCTCCAACATGGCTGGCTACACTCATAGATCTCTTGCTAGTGCTCTGGTCTTGTAAGTTTATCATCACTAATCTTCTGAGGCCTGACTAACATACTCTGCCAGTACTGCATATTGCTGGGGCAACTTTGCCGGCCCCTTCGTCGTGAAGAAGTCCGAGGCTCCTCACTTCACTGGTGCCACTATTGGACTTCTAGTAGGCTACGCTATCAAGTTCTGTTGCCACCTGGGTCTTCTTGGTAAGTGGCCTGACGATTCAAGGCGAGGATTTCGGCTAACCCTTTGTGTTTAGTGTATATGTATCTTATCAACAGACACCGTAACAAGACCTACGGTGCGCCCAATAAGGAGCGTAGTAACGAGGCTGGTATGCGGGATCAGACCGAGTTTGAGAACAAGGATTTCCGATATGTTCTGTAATTTTGAATCTGATCATGGTAGCAAGAATAAGGTCCGGACTTCGACAAACAGTTGTATAGCGCAGCGGAAATAGAATATACCAGTGATCCTTGCCTCATATTCTACCCTCAATCCGCGACTTTACTCAAATTTGGGAGACAAACTCACCACTTGATAGAACAAGGCAAACATCACAGACATGAACACTGCCACATTGCTCATACCTTGCATTTACTTTCTAGATACATAGAGGCACATGGCCATCTCCCTTGTAGTAGCTGTTCGGCCTCCGAACCGCCTTAAGCATCGCCATGATTATCTGGGCGAATTGCAAGGCTATAATGTCGCCTTTGGTCAATATCACACGGCCGGAAAACGATGTACGCGGGAGTGTACTCCAGTCATGAAAATCTTCAAGAAGAAGCTCAAAGCAATTATTGCCTCAAATCCTACTGTAGACCGTGAACTAATATTGACTTTGTTAACAATCTGTCGGAGTCTAAATGCAGGTAAGACTGCAGTAAGATATCCGTGGTATTGTATATGTATCTACTCATTCATTACATGCGTTCGACAGATGATTAATACAACCCTTTTCTTGAAAGACCTTACTCCTTGAACTCTTGAGCAATCTGACCGACATCTGTCATGTTGGCGATACCCGCGAAAGCGCTCAAAGCCTTCTTCGCCCGAACCTCTCCAATCTGGTTACCAACATGATCCAAAAACTTGGTATGGAGGAACTTCTCATCCAGAGGATTCTCATAGCTACCGATCGTGTGCTCAACATGGACCTCGAGTTTTTTTCCATTCTCAAACTCAACAGCTACAAACGCCTCATGCTCACTGACCTTGTCATCACTTGTAACATTGACCTTCTGGCGGAGGTCGATGACAGTTTTGTTCTGAACAGCCTCATCGGTGAACTGGGTTGGGGTTGCTTCGCCGAAAAGAAGTGCTACAGCGGCAGCATGATAGACGCTGAACTTGCCCTGCAGACCTGTCTCGGGCTTGGGGTCATCCGTTAGGAACAGAACGCGGGGGTGAGTACGGGCCGTGACATTGGCGATCTTGTTGACGTCGAGACCGTCTTTCACTGCCTTATTGTGGATTTGAATCCAGCCATCGATGGCAGCGTGGATGATTCTGTCGCATGGGTACGGTTTGAACGTGTTCCTGGAGATCTCCCAAACATCACCAAGGGTGGAGATCTCAGCAGTCAGATTCTCACGAGTGCTGACAACATGAGACCAACCCCTCTTAGCTTCTAAGCCTTCAAGGGATCCGCCAAAGCCACTCTTAGCGAGTAAAGCCGACTGTAGACCTGCTTGTGCTGCGGCTCCAACGTGGAAAGGCTTGGTGTCTGTGCCAAAAGACTCATGCATCCCTATGACTTGAACAGAGGCTATGCTGATAGCTCTCTGCATTTGCTTAGTGTCAAGTCCGAGGAGCTTTCCGACGGCAACAGCTGAGCCGACCGAGCCAACAGTGCTAGTGATGTCTGATGACAGTCAATATGGCCACGTCCAAGAAGAATGATTAGGTCCACTTACGCCATCCAACATTGTAATGCTCCGGGAAAACAGCAACACCAATTTTGCACTCCGCTTCAACACCAGCAACGAAGGCCGCCAAGAATTCTTTGCCTGACACAGGTGCCATCCACTCCGCAACAGCAAAGAGAGCAGACAGCACAGGCCCAGAGGGGTGAATAGGGTTATCTCGGTGGGTATCATCATAGTCATCAGCGTGAGAGGCAATACCGTTGATGAGAGCTGCGGTCTTAACATCAACGTACTTCCCAGTCCCAAAGATGGAAGAGTTTCCATCGGCTCCGATGAAGGGAGCACTGGCCTCGTACGCAATACCTGCTGGGGGTAGAGCGTAGCCGCCGATAGCACAGCCGGCCCAGTTATAGACGCTCTTGACGGCTATGTCGACGATTGGGTCGGTTAGGTTGCCAAACTGAAGGGTTAGAGCCCATGTTGCTAGAGCCTTGGTAGCCATTGTTGGTTTGTGAGTGTAGTTTGTCTTGAGTGTCTGCTGTGATAATTCACCACTCGAAGGGCATATCCTGCTAGCATTTATACTTCTCCAGAACTCTGTTCGTCTACAATCTTTAGGGATCTACATTCTCCTTGCTTCAATTTTACCCCGCGGATCGAACGGTACTTTTGTTAAGTGATACTGCGCGGTGTAACCCTCCCAGGCCCCTATTGTGGAGGCCATCGTATCTCTGGGCCACTTCTAACTCAGAAAACAGATATAATTTATGGCAGATCAATGCTTGGAGATCCTGGTCCTCAAGCTTCCGGACTATAAAAGTACATTGACCTCAAGGGAGCACGAAGAAGTACCTGTGCTCGTGTATTTCTACTTGTAAGAACAAAGTCTTCCTGGCGTGGTTCAATTGATGCTTAATGTCAAGACCTACCCCGGATGTACTAAATCCCCGCATTTAGGAACTAGTTGCTAACCTAAAGGTCCTGTTTTGCGATGATCTCACTGCAGTTGAGCTAGTCCAGTCGAACGCCCGCGGAGAACGCCCGAGGAATGTGACCGGTTGGCAACCGCCGGTGTCACGGAAGAACCCATGACCTCCCTCGGGAGAATTGAATGACACTTAAAAGATCGGTAAACTTTTATGCGTAGTGCATCACTGGTTTTTGGTGACGAGTCGGCACGGGGTTCCATTTGCCATTCCTGGCATATCACTCGTATAGACTTATGGCTGAGAGCAGAGAGAACTTAGCAAGGCCTCAATAGGGCTTGAATCTTCTACATGTTGCGAGGCATGGGAGTTGCATCAGTGACAGTCATCTTGAAGGCATTGATAGTCTCTGTTGGGTCGGTATCTATCTCGGTGACCGCTGTGATAAGTCGTCGTCCTCTTAGACTTACAAGCCCGGTGCGTAGCCTTCACTACTTTGGCCTCCTCTATGACACTATCAATATGATTCGAGGCCTCGTCTCTATGCTTTTTAAATTTCATCGATTTTGTGATATGTAGTAGGTAGCGCTGATAAAGATAGGTTATTGGGAGGTTATTGCGTTCCGTTTATTAGATACCACACTCATTCTACAGCAGCTAGCAACCCATATCTCTCAAATCTCTCGATATATGATTTAACTTTGTATAAGGACGCTTTTCAAACTCCTGTCATTGACTCCAATGGCTCGGCAACAGTAAAAGGAGCTTCAGTCTTAGCCTTGACCTCATCCACAGTGACACCAGGAGCAATTTCAACCAGCTTTAAACCCGTGGCGAAGTCCACGTCAAACACTCCCTGAGAAGAGTTAGTATAATCCAAGAGAAGTATCGTGATAGCGACGTACCAAGTCCGTAATGATGCGTGATACGCACGCCCGGCCTGTAAGAGGAAAAGAGCATTGGTTCAAGATCTTGGGATTGCCCTTCTTGTCTGTGTGTTCCATCGTGACAATGACCTTCGTCTTACTCGGGTTGCTAACGAGGTCCATCGCGCCGCCGAAACCTTTGACCTTTCCTGGGAGCATCCAATTGGCCAAGTCACCTGTTGCATTGACTTGCATAGCACCAAGGATGGTAACATCGATACGACCACTACGGATCATGCCGAAACTTTCGTCGCTGCTGAAAACAGATGCACCAGGCTTCAAAGTGACTGTTTCTTTACCGGCGTTGATAAGATCCGGATCAGCTTCTTTGCGCTCTTTGGATGGATAAGGTCCGAGTCCTAGGATGCCATTCTCCGATTGAAGCTGGACATCAACATCGGGTCCAACGAACGATGCTGCCAACATCGGCATACCGATTCCAAGATTGGCGTACATTCCATTCTTGAACTCCTTCGCTGCTCGTCGGACGATGCGTTCTCGCTTTGCAGCAACCTCACCCTGGCCCAGAGTCTTGACGTCTTGCTCGTTCCAGGTATATTTCTCGATCCCTTTGGCTGCAGTGCTCTGAATAACTCGCTTCACATAAATGCCCGGTAAATGAACTGACTCTGGGGGGATCTCCCCGGGTTCAACAATATGCTCGGCTTCAACGATTGTCATTTTAGCATTACGGCCCATTGGACCGTTGAAGTTTTGAGCTGCAAGGCGAAACTGACAATTTCCTAGCTTATCTGCCTTGAACGCCTTCACAAAGGCATAGTCTCCCGAGATGCTGCGTTCAAGGAGGTAAGGCTTGCCATCGAATACCTTGACGTCTTTGGGGTCTGGAAATTGGGCGTCGCTAGAGGAGTCAATGCCTTTGTTCCGAGACGGGAGGTCGGCATTTTGAACAACAGTTCCGACACCAGCAGGCGTATAGAAAGCCGGGATACCTTTGCCACCAGCAGCGCAGCGTTCCGCAAGGGTACCTTGAGGGGTAAGTTCCAGTTCAATGTCGCCTGTAAGGTACATCTTCTCGAACGTCTTGTTCTCTCCGATATATGATGCAACCATCTTGCGCACTTGCCTGCTTTTTAAGAGCTTTCCAAGGCCAAATTCATCAGTTCCGGCATTGTTGGAAACAGCTGTTAGCCCGGTGACATCAGACTTGTTGAGGACTTCATTGATGAGCGTGTCCGGGACACCACAAAGACCAAAGCCGCCACATAGGATTGTCGTGTTTGGTTTCATGTCCTTTAGCGCCTCTGCTGCCGATGAGACAACCTTGTTGATGCCATAGCGGCCCACAGAGATGGAGAAGTGTCTTGTAAGCAACACCTTCGCCTGTATGAGTCAGTCTTAAAACATGATGACCAGCTGAGAGGTAGGCGGAGTGTCAAAAAGACAACCTACGCAATTCCCACGTGGGACCACGGTTCGTGAGCTTATACACATGATTGATGATACCATAGTGCCAACGTGGTCTTTCCAAAGGACACAAGAGGCAGGGCTAGTTATGAACCAGTAGACGTTGACAGGCTATCCAAGGTCGATTTTCGATGGCCTTATCAGCCACAGAGCTTCTATTTCTACTCTCATTCTTGTTTGTAGCGACCTACGTCGTGGAATAACTTGCTAGAGGCTTTCGGGAGCTGGCCGCGGAAAGTGGCCGGCGTCATGCTAAAACTGAACCATGAGGGTTTTGAACAGTTTTGAGCTAACCGAAACCGAAACGAAAATTATATGTCGAGTGTGAAACATGGTTTCGAGCACTAATGGATCAACCATGCTTACTCTGATATGGTTTGGCAGATGTCTCACTGGTGCCACTGTCAAGAAAAGGAACTAGACACAAACATTATCTAGCAATACTCTCTGCTCGGAGATATCTACTGGGTAATATGTGATATTCATGATAGGTCTCAGCTGGATATCTTCCCGATTTGAATAGCCGCCTGTCAACAAAACGTTGTTGGAGTGGCCTGGCTCAGCTAATCTTCCTCTATTTCATTGACCTCAACGCCATCCAATCCCTTCAGTTTCTCTACACAATCCTTGGTCACGGGGCTTATGAGAGTTAGCGAGTACACTGAAGCCAACTTTGGTTCATGGTTACTTACGGGGGGATTCCCATGGGCGGGATGGATCTGGTCTCAATCCAAAACTCAACGCCGGTGTCGTCCTGGATAAGTCTAGAGAGGTCTCGTTAGAATGATGAAGATGAACTTGGAATAGACTACTTACTTTTTGAGCTGGGGCTCGGAGGCCTGCCATGCGTCGAAGCCGCGGTAGGTGTAGCGAATTTTCTGCGTGTGTTGTTAGTAGGCGTGACAGCATAAGGGCAAATCTTAAGTACAGTCTTGTCGGACATGATGAATAGAGAAATAGATCTGTTTGTGGGATAGAATGATGAAAGCGTTGATGTTTTGTTGTGATTGAGAGGAAGCTGAGATGATACAGAACTTGAGGATCTTCTTGACCTTTTATACTTGAGAATTTACAGTTGCAGCGCACACAAGATTGTCAAACAATGAACTTCTACGCGAAATCAGGCCATTTTGACATCGCTTTCAGCTTTTGTCGATCATGAACAGATGCGTCTCGGCATTTCATCCACAAAGACTAACTTAGGCTGCGGGATCTTCCGATTGCAGACGCTACCAATGGTTTCCGTCACTATAAATTGCAGTTCAAACTCAATCTGCAACTTCATCTGACTTTGCATTCAGCGTAAATCCACAGTATCAAATATTAGATCATGTTCAGATCATTTTATTGGATATACACGGCTTATTTGCTTTCGGTGATCGACACGGCACGGGCGGTAGGTCGGAATGTTGTGTGTCAAGTCGTCATAGACGGAAGCTTAAACAATGTCTCACCTTTCACATGTCTTCATCACGAAAAAATGGGCTTGAAGATCATTATTAAAACGTGTTATCATTGGCGACCCGCTGAAGGGAAGCGCTAAGGGTATCGTGGGACAGAGAAACAAGTTGTCTCTCTGCCTCGTAATTATATCTACTCTATATTTTTATGGCATGACCAAGTCAGGTTTATGCAAGGTCTGATCCTCGAGTTTGGACAACAGTCTTCTTGACCAACACATTCCATCCTTTTTGAGCACGTGGTTGGCCATTGGCATCCGCCAGATCTGACTGGCTGCTATTCCAGCCATGTAACTCTGCAACAGAGTCAGAAGCTTCTGATCTACTTCCATGCTTGCCTGTTTCGGCATTACCATCTGAATTGTCGTCGTGGTCGATGATGGTGGTGACTCCAATACGCTTGCCAGCATTATCGTGCAGATCAAAAGCCTCCTCGCCGTTCTGGCCGTGGCTGCGAAGGTAGCCTCCTGTTGGATGGTTGCTACCTGTTCGCTGCCAAGGCCTGGCTGAGTTTCCCTGTCCATCTGCGGATGATCCGTGACCAAGAAAGTTACGGAGCAGAGGTCGAAGTGTTGCGACAGCTGAAGCAGTGATACCAAGACCAGTCTCAACAGTAGACCAGATAGCGACATCTGAGGTAGAGTATAGGAAGTCGTCGATGTCGGTGAGGGAGTAGAGGTAAGGGAAGCGGATGATGGTTGCACTAGAAGCACTGTATAAATCCAAGGTCAGTAAACTATTTCAATGGATAGGGGAGTGTTGACACATACATAGCGCCTGCGGCCAGAATACCAACGACAGAAATCTTTGTTCTTTTGCTCATTTGAAGGTTGTAAACCAGGGCAATGGGTAGCAAACTGTAGGTCCAGTCTGACAAACAGCTGATAGCGGAGTAAGCATAGAAGGCCTTAGCAACCACCGAGGCGTCCAAGCAACTGCCTCCAGGAGGGTTACTGGTATATCGGAGCCAGAAGAGTGCCGTAGGTCGGCATTGGAGAACAAACAACAGGAAGAAGAACAAGCTGTAGATTTCTGTGATGCCAGTGATGGTCCAGATGATAATCTTGTGTGTGCGTGTAATGCAAATTCGCAACAAGAAGATAGCAATACTGGCCTTGATGGCCATGTTGGTCAAGACGTAGGTCGGTTCGCATGTCCACCACATCTGCATCGCTCTGGGGATGTTCTCCGGCTCGATGTCCTTGAAGTGACGTCCAGTTCCATATCGGACACCAGTGATCTCATAGGAGCAAAAGACGATAAACATAAACTTTCTCGGTTAGCAGGGTCTTACCAATAGGGGTGATGCGTCCTACCTGGGCAATGAGAGCAAGCCAATCATCGGCGCCGAACGCCTTTACGATCCATCCTCGGCAGTAGACGCGAAGACACGTCGCAATCGATGAGAGGATCACAAAAGTATAAGCGATGGCAGCAATCTGCGTTGCCCGGCTCTCGATCGCCATGGTGTTCAGCTCGTGTGGCAGACAAGAAAGAAGAACAGGGTGTAGCGAGTGGACTCTGTCTACTAATCGAGCGAGCGGGCAACACCCCATCGACTATATATGCAGACATGGTAAAACACTACTCACTCGCCACGAGTCTACGGACAACAATCCAGACCGGGATAGTTTCGTCTGTGGAGTGCAGGAGATGGAGACAAAAGGGGATTCCTGTAACAGACTATCCAAGCGGCGTGACCAGGAAAACGCGGCAATGATTTGCGTCTTATCTAGATACAAGTTAGCTCGATCGTCATGACGGGGAGGCTAGCCCTGCTTGTGTAGGCGCAGCCAGAAAGTCGGGACCTTTGAGTCAGGGAGCTTCGGACTTTGGCCAATCTGCCACGAGGAAAAACGCTCTGACAAGGAGCGACAGGTTTTTAGTCCTTCTGCTACTCGGAGCGCGGTTCCGTAGAGATCTCGTCCCAGGGCCTAGGAGATTGGCTAGACTATTAGTGATGCATCATTCCGGTAATAGCGTCGGAGAACCGGATGATCTATCTTGCGTTGGTCGAATGAGGTCAAGTGGCGATTTGTGCTTGGACCTTTGTTACACAAGGAAAACTCTGCGCGCAGTGGCCTTCGGGGAACCCACAAAAAGGGTATAATCTCGAGAATCAGGGGAAATGATTTATTTACCTGATGGCTCCCAACAATTGCTCTGGCTTCCCCAGGTCTGGAGATTGCAGAGTGGGCTTGAATGGAGCTGTTTAAGTGGCTGTGTCGCGTCGAGCAGAAGCAATGCTAGACATTTTTAGGTATGTAGATCGTGGTGGTAATCAATGTCTGTGAGTTGCATTGTAGATCGTAACAAAAGAGATCGAGCATCTCGGGAACTTCATAGCCGCGTCTGGCGATCATTTACTTGGCCGAAGCGCTTGCATGTTAAGGCTGTCGAGCACAATTCAACGTCCTTGGCATGCCTTGAGAATGCTTCCAATAGTTTGACGCCCATCGCATGATGAGTGGATCCTAGCTTTGACTCAGGCACTCTTAAGCTTAAGCCTAAAGCTCTGTCATGAGGCGAGCTGAGCAGCTAGCAGATGTGATTGATCATAGTGCCCATGTTTTAGCTGTTATTGTAGTCTCAAAGCAGTATGAAAGCTGCCCATCAGTATCTTCAGTCAATTGCCTGATCAGTGAGTTGGCATTGTAGGGCGCTTTGCGAGTCATGAATTGACCAATGAAAAACGCTTCGGAGTCTCGCCTATGATGGCTCCGGATCGAACGCTCCAAGCATGACCTCTATATCCGACGTTTTATTCAAGTCACCATCGACTGCGGCTTGCCTGCCCACATGGTTCGTTGAAGCAATACGAAAATGGGAGAGAACAAGACCAATCCGAGTCATTCATCTTATCTGCATGAAACATTGTCAAAGCTGAAGTGGGTTATCAGGCGCGAAGGATTCGTGGCTGCTTGGCACTCGTGCGGAGCGAGGTTCTAGAAATTGGGCGCACTAGCGTATTAGCCAAGAAAGTTTTAAGTGCTCAATTGGTCTTGACTAAGGCAGTTCGATTTTTTACTTGGTACGTTCCCCTACGAGGGATGCTCCTCGCCAAAGTGGCCACGGCCCAGACCAACTCCACCAAGCCAATTCGTCATAGTCCTACCCTAGAACAGAGGGCTTGCAAGTCATTACCCTTCATTCTAAGAACACTTTATGTTACGCCTATGTCTAAAGCTTGTTCTGTGAAACCTTTCTCAACGTCTCTAGTGGCGAAGTCTCTGCCAGAACAGTAGCATAAGAACCAAATCGCACGTGCACAGCCTCCTTTGGCTTTGGATCCCAGCAGTAAAAACGCCCAGTGGACCTCATCTTCTCCAAGTCGATCACAACAATTGACTCAACAGGCATAACCGTCTCGGTCCAAAACAGCATGTACAAGTTGTCTCCCAGCTTGAGCATCTGGCACTTCTCAGCATCTGCGATGCCCCTCTCTGTGCCGCTGAGACAATGCCAGGTCATAGTGCCCTTGTTGAGATAGACATGCTCATAAGCATCTCGGGGGGTGTATCGGTACAGAATGTGCTTTCCAATGAGCTCGTCAGTGGCTTGGAATGGTTCAACATGTTTCCCTCCGAATGCGACTGCGTTGATGAAAGAGGTAAATGTTCTGCGTTCACCGTTCTCGTCCTTGAAGCCTGATACCGCAGCAATGGCTTGTCCAGTGACTGTATCGACGATCAAGCTGACGACTTCATTATAGTCAGGCTTGAGGAAGTCGACGAAGAAGACATCTGGTCGCACTTCGAAAGCCTCGTACTTGGCTGGTGCAGTCAGACCTGCTCCCTCTCCCTCGAGGATCTTCCATGTGACGGTATTCGCACCAAAGTCATGAGATATCTTCCAACCATTGTCGTAGGTATGTTCAAAGTATTTGCCCTGCAGTTTGCTCGATGCTGGCATAAGGTGTTCCCTGAAGCCATCGGCCATTTCCTGGAGGGTTGGCCATTTAGTCACCGGGACAAAGTCGGCGGTCTCTGAAGTAGCTGATGGAACCATGGTGACTAGTGAAAGAGGCTTGAAGAGTGAAGAATATGAAGTGTCGACTTGAGAACTCTTTATGGCGTTATTAAGAGGGTGGAATCAATGGTAAGATTTGTCTTGGGAGTCCATTCATTCGAGGAGAGACGAAGCTGCCTTTATAGAAAATCGCCAAGCACCATACCGAGCGATCATTGAGCGAATCATCATAAGTCTATAGCTAAATATTAGATACTATCACAGTTGAATTCCGTAAATTCCGTGAAGCCTTCAATACAATAGTCCTATCAAAATCGGAGCTTCCCCGCATGATCATCAAAGTCTACGGTGCCATTGACCACGACCTTTCCACTTACAGAAAAAAAGTGCGATGTCCCCCACCTGTATCTTTCTTTGGCGTGCGGAGAGACATCCTGGAAACTCTATTCCAAAGGTCTCGATGGCATTTTCCCTTATCATCAAGCCGGCAGCCGAGAGGGAGTGATACGCAATGGTAGCCTTCGGACTTTGATCAGACCGAAAGTCCTTCACTCATAACGCTTATCCATTGTCCGACTCTCCGAGCTTCATACGTGTAACTGCTTTCTCGGACTTCCGCGATACTGCATGAGTATAAGCGTGAAGCGAACTGGAGCACGGTCAGTCTGCCGAGAGGGCGAGAAAGGGACGCAGTCAATTCTCTTATACTATCCTAGAATAGTCTTCAGCCCAGCTTCTTTCATAACATCAATCCAATGCACGCGTAAAATTGGACTCCTATCATAAGAAGTGGAATCAGGCCCCTCCAGGGCCACTGAGTCCATCTGTGCCCAGACCCTCTGAAGCACAGCGGCTGCCCGATTAATCGTCTGAAGTTTGAGAGACAAGAATGACCTATGCAACCTCTCAAGTACAAATCTCCTCCAGTTTGCCACTAACACTTTGATGTTTGTGTTTGTGTTTGAAGTTGATCCAAGTGCACTTCCCGCTGCTAGGAATATAATGGTCTGAATGGCAATGGTTCGGGAGTCCTGGGGAATCGTGTTCATAATCTCTAATATCTTCACTGCAAGCTCTAAAATATGCCGTGAGAGTATTGTGCCTTGGTTTTGGTCATCCTGTAAGCATTGTGCGACTTCGGGGAATGCCCGATCAAGCTCAAGGCGACCAACCAGTTGATAGCACTTAGCTATCTTACAGAGATGATCTGACGGAGTCCTGTAGTCGCCCGTACTCTGTACCGTTGCAGGAGTTGGTATTTGGCAGTGGTCTATGTCCAGACTTAAAGTAAAAGCTTGGCTGAGTAAATCGACGGTGCGGCTTGATACCTCTATAAAATCCTTCGTTGAATAATTGTATGAGATCAGACGTCGTTTCTGCCGCACTAATGCCATAGATTTGGCGACGCTGATCAAAATATTCGTGCCGACTCCGGTCCATGGACACGGATGACAAAAGGTCGAAGGTGGCAGAACGGAGAACACGTCGAGATATGAGAGTGCGCTAACCTCTTGATCAATCAAGCAAGAGGCCATCACTTCCCAATAGACCATTGATGAAACGATCAAGCGTTGGACGCGGTGAGACGGAAACTGAAGGTCCGTGAGGTTGAATTGGCTCATCCAAATCCTGAACACTTTTCGAGCACCATGAAAATGGCACAGGCCGAGAGAAGAAGGATCATGCCAGCTCTGTAAGTTGAGAAGTAAGCCCCGTGAAGGCATCGCTGAGTGAAAATACTTACAGAGGTCATGCCAATGAGAGTTATACCCAACATCAAGTCATCCTTTATCGTTGGTGCCGTTGAGGCGGGAAGAGGAGTCAATCTGTGTATTTCGGCGAGCTCCCTCGATATATGTGAAATAGCTTCCGTCTGGAAGGTCAAAGGTATCAAAGATGTGTCTCGCTCTTGCTGGCTTAAATGGGCTGCCGATGCACTCAAGGCACTATTGAACACAATGGGGGAGTTTCGAATAAACTCAAGCAGATCTGAGCGGTAAGGGTTACTGGGCGAGTCAAAAGACGACAGGACCTGACATGCTGATGCGAAGTAGTGTGTTAAGAGTTTGGAAGATTCCTCCTGGGGAGAGTACAGCACAAGGGCATTATCGGTCTCAAATGGAGAAGATGGTGAATTGCCAATGCCAGACGAGGGCCCTGAGCCAGGGCCAGCATATGAATGGATGCCATAGTCAATCTCGTATTTGGTCGACCATTTTACTGGACGTTTATAGCCAGGACATAACAGATTGGATTTGACGCAACGAGTACAAGCAGGCTCTGCTTCATCGCATTTCAGCTTCTGCGGCAACTTTTAGCAACCTATTAATAAAGTCATCCAAGGCAAGGATGTTGTACCCACGCGTTTCTTACAAGTGACGCAGCCGCCTTCACATTTCAGCAACGTTAGCTGAGGTACGGCAGACAAGTTGCTCAAATCGTAGGGCCAAACTCACTCCTCAATTTCTGTCGCCTTCGGGTCGATGCCGAAGAAGCAGTAGACTGATCCATGGAGAGCTGCCAACCCTAAATGTTCAATAAGATCAATACCTGATTCTCCGAGTCATACAGGGGATTTTCCATACTTAGTAATGGGACTAACAGACCCTGGTAGCTTGTCAGCAAGATAAGAAGGGTCCAAGATATGAGATAGGTGAACAGTCGGAAATCGGAAGTGGGTTCCGCTGATCAAAGTCATGTGGTTATCAATTGGTTGGCTGGGATTGGCTAGACGTCCTAGACACCAGCCACCTAGGCGAATCTTAAGTTACCTCATCAAGATTACCATATTGTTTGGCGAGATAACAGTAAAATAGTGGTAGGGGCAGTCAAATGGCTTATCATACCAATGAACCACAATCACTGTCAGAATCACCAAGTGAAGGATCGTGTTTTGAGATATCAAGTAATCATTACGTATATTGTGACACAGCCAGGGATCAGCTGATTTGACCCGTATCCATCGAAAGACAGTATCGCATTCATCAAAGTAAACTAGTGTAGTGTTCCCTCCAAAACTTCGGCGTCTGTCAGTGGGCCAACATACCGCTTGCTCACCCTCAGCGGCCAATAGATGCAGCCAAACACCAGAGCACCACCCAATACAACAGGTGCATAGTTCATGTTCACCGGGGTTATCGGCTGATAAGGAGGGAAAAGAAGGAAGATGCAGGTATACATGAGATAAATCACCGCAATGATGTTGATGGGTAGGCCTGCTTTACCGAGTCTCCAAGGACCCCAGCGCAGAGTATCCGGGCGGAATAAGCGCCGCCAGATTAACAGAATGATGGGAAGAAGGTATGAGGCCTGTAGACTGACGACCGCAAGGGATAGGATGGCATTGAAAGCTGTCGTAGAACCAATGTTGATGAGACTCAACAACATAAGCAGGAAGCTGACGACGACAATGGATACAGTGGGGATTTGTCGACGTTTGTCAACGCTTGCAATACGCTCAGCAAATGGGAGACCTGTGTAATGAATTGTTAGTTATCTGTAACTTATAACGATCAAACTGACCTACCTCCGTCTCTAGCAAACGCCCACATGATGCGAGCCGCCGCTGTGAGGAGAGGAACTGTTGACAAGCATGCCATAACAGTAATCATAGCGGTCATGGTAGTAGCAGCCGCAACGCTACCGGTCATATGAAGGAAGATCTCGATAATAGGAAACCCTGTAGGTGTAGCCAAAGCCGCCGAAATGTCTCCCATAAAGAAGAGAATTATAAGGAGGAAGGCAAAACCCAAAGGCCCGTTAACCAAGAGGCAACCAACCATGGCCCTGGGTACACCCATCTCAGCATTGTTCATCTCCTCGCTAAGATGTGTGGCACCATCATAGCCGATAAGAACATAGCAAGAGCTGAGAAGTCCTATACTCCAAGCCACGGCGTCGTTTCCCCATCCAGAATTGTTCTCGAAGTGGGAAAAGACCCATTCGGCCGAGTGCTTGGTCGGTGAAGTCACGGCCATGGTGACTATGATTGCGATGAAGAAGGTGACGTGTAGCACGAGGGTCAGCTTCTCGATGAGCGGCAGCTTGTTACTGCAGAAGATACAAATGCAAGCAGAGCCGAGAAGGACGGCCCAGAAGAGTAGCGTGCCATGCCATCTTTGGAAGACGTAGGAATCGGGATAGTTGAGGACGAGGAGGCCTTGGATCTGTGTTCCGGCAAGAAAGGGGGCACTGCCAGCAGAGGCTATCCAGCCTAGCGTTCTTCATCCTGTCAGTCTACATTTTCGTCTCCTGTCGAGGTTCGAGCATTACTCACGAGATATATCCAGCGAGCCAGCTGGTCAAGGGTCGGCTCGTTTTCGGACTCAGCTTGGCTACGAAGTGGTATTGTCCACCAGCGGTAGGATAGCTAAGGATGAACGCGTCAGCATTTACACAGAATGTGAATGAGCTAGCTTACCTGGAAGCCAGTTCAGCTAAGGAACTGGCAGAACAGAGTGATCCGACAAAGGCCACGATGACGCCGTAAACAAGGGATACTGCCCCTCCGCTGACAAGCCCAGCAGCAAGTGTACTTCAGAGAAAGGTCAGTTTGAGTCAAGCAGCAACAGCGACAGGTATCGAACCTAGATAATGCTTCCCATGTTGCCATCAGGTTGACGCATGTCGCAACCATGGCAGTAAGAGAGAAGTTGCGCTGTCATGACCAGTCAGCACGCCCACACGTCTCGGAACCAGTATCTCATACCTTTGTCTGCTGAACATAGCCATGGCGCTCCAAGTTTTGTTCATCTTGGTTCTGCGAACCAAGATGCTTCTCATTGTCAATTGCAGGAGATGCCATATCGAGAGACATGTTGATTTCCAATTCGATGTCTGTGAGAGGGAGAATAACAAGAGCGTGCTCGGAACTTTATCTTCGTTTCGGTTATCATGCTTCGGAACCCCTGGTCTGGGGTAACGGCAGACGCGGCAGGCATTAGGCCTCTAGCGTGCTGCATTGGGGAAAAAAGTGCGCGTGGCGATGCTGACTAGCGTGGTAGTCGCTATCATCACCAGGGGAGAGTCATTGGTGAAGCCTACCCCGCGTTTTTTCGATAAAGGCTTGTTGTCCGGGACTGATTCCGACCTGACCATAGAATGTAGATATCCAATTCCGAGGCCTTGATCATCACCGAAATAATCCCAACGAACTCAGATATCGCAGAGTCGTAATTACGAAAACTCAGGAACAAATCATAAGTGAGGTTTACTAAGCTGCATATAACGCTGGCCAAACAAAATTCTATGTTGTAGAACCTACACTGCAAGACATGCATGAATTCCGTGCCGTAGCGTGCTAAGAAGTCGCAAGTCAATAGCAAGTTCTGGGAATCTTACAGCGGTGCAAGAACTTGATAGAGCCGGGAATTAAGTTTGAATCACTAACAGATGCAAAAAGAAGAGCTTGCCATAGAAGAAGCAAAAAGAACTGATCACGCTGGGGATCGAACCCAGAATCTTCTGATTCGTAGTCAGACGCCTTGCCATTGGGCCACGCGACCGGATTATTTGTTATGCCAGAGCCGCCAGAGTTTGGGTCCATGTCGCTACAGGGTACGCTCGATCGAAGCTTGCTAATCGGTGTGAACAAAAATGAAATGAAGCAACTGATTTTGATCTTGTAGCACTGATGGCCTTATCCTATGATGGGCGCTATAGAAGATTAGATAGGTAACTTGGGCCTTGGACTATCAAGGGACCCTAGGTCTTAATCGCTTGTTCTATGCAGAAGTGTAGGCGCAAAATGGTTTGCGGTTCCACGTTGTTCAGCCGATCCTGTTGCTCGATGTGCGTTCTTGGATCATAACCATCCTGATCAAGCCTGTGACTCATCGCCCACTCCTCAATTACTGACCATTTCCGGCAAATATGCGTTGTAGTCGCATTTGAAAGGTTTTTCCCAACCTGAGGTGCCCAATACCAACGTATCAGACTCAAGTCAGCATTGCACATAAGACTCTGTCGAATCGAGTCAATGCAGTGAAACTTGTGCATAGTTTGTAACCTGCCCAGGCCCCCTTCCGTTGAGTTGAAGTCCCTTAACATCTTCCGAATATCATTGAGGCAGTGCAATTGGTGGTATACATCAAGACTGGTAATGTAGTAGTCTGTCGTTCCCGAGCTACGAGTTTGGTTAGGTATGATTCGTCACAAGGTGAAGTACAATCACTTACTGGTCTTCGGGGAAATCTGAATTGAAGGTGACTATCTCGTACTGGACTGCGCTCTGTGCTGGAGCTTCTAAAGTTAGGAAAGTTTCCGAGGAGTGTTATGCCACGGTATCATATAATAGAGAGTATCAGGCCAGGGAGGTAAAGGTGATCTTGTTCTCGCCCACAGGCACAGAAATGAGATAATCAGAAGAAGGTTGAGTAAGAGAGATGTAAACGCAATGGCAAACATGCATTTGGGAATCCTCTGCCTGAAAGATTGCTCAACTCGTGTTTCCCAATCTCGCGAGTCATCCAGGTGTTCATCACCATTCTTCAACAGCCGATCATGAGATTCAGGACTCTCCCGGCTTTCCGGGGAAGACCGCGTCATTTTTGTTGTCAGAGGACTAGCAAGTCTAAACTTGACAATGCAAAACATAACAAACAAATGTCACTCGTTATATGGCACACATGAACGGGTTTCCGTGTTGCTCTAGCGCTGACATGCAACTCATCTTATCCTATCCTTCGGTCATCACTACGCCGAGCCCTCACTTACGTTCGCGACGTACTATGCCGGTGAGATCACTGTGCTTCTGTAGATGGTTGTCGCTCATAGAATTATCCCCTCTTGTAGGATTTAGGCTGTGCCAAGACGCATGCAAGATCGAGCTTTTATTCATCAGTCACAATACTGACTACGGACTTTCAGCACTAGGAAATCCTTCGTAGGAGTATGCTAAAACCTAATCCAACGAGTCGGCACACAATGTAGTTTGACCATGTCTACAAAACTCTTCATGCACACTCATCACAGGTGCCATAGGAAGCTTTCCGGCTTCCGTTATCCGAGCTGTTACCTCAATTCTCGAAATGTATGTCGATTTATGAGCACAACGTGACATTCCCCCGCAGATGACGAGAGTACTTTTGCTTTCAAAGGATATATCAAAGGGATATAACGTCAATTTCGGAACAGAATTACACCGAGATGATGAGAGTCAAAGGTGAATATAATCTCATCATTAACACAGAACTCTACAGGCAAGCAACAGCGATATCATTCATCAACAAACTCTATTCTACTATCATCACGTATTTTGAAAACAAGAATCAAAAGCTTTGACGACATGAAGGCCTCTTATATTCTCGCACTCAACGCTCGCCTACTTGCTTTGGCAGCACCTACACCTGCCAATAGCCAACTCTCCAAGAAGGCCGAAGCCGAGAGCTTCTTCCTCTAAACTGATGTCGCTTGGTTCGACGTCGGTGATAAGAAACGTGCCGTTTCTGAAAAGACCTCGACCAAAAAGCGTGCTCCAGCTGATGCTGACGCTGAAATCTTCTTCTTGCAAACAGACGTTGAGTGGTTTGATGGCGGAGACAAGAAGCGCGCTTCAATCGACAAGAGAACTCCAATTGTGAAGCGTGATCAGACTGAGAAGCGTGAACCTTCTGGCGCTGAGACTGAGAGCTTCTTTCTTCAGACTGATGTTGGGTGGCTTGATGGTGGTGATAAGAAGCGGGCGACCGATGATGCCAGATCAAAGGAGTAGGCGTCTTGGTCTCAGTTAGTTACTGGACATTACTTTATCGCGCAATTGCGTTGCATGATCAAGCTTTGTATGCTTCATGTAATTATACGAAACTCAAACAGGGCCATCAATAGTGTATTTGCGTCTCGTCACCACTGTGCCCTCATTTTCATGACTCAAATTTCCTTGTCCCGCAAATAATATGCGAAAGAAAAGCCCGAAGGTTGTTGCGATCACACGGAAGGTTACATACTCAACTCGGAGCCAGACGTAATGCTGCATGGCCAAGTCGTGTACAGACACACAAAAACGTCAGCGTCTTGTTATAGGGCAAAAATGAGGATGCTGGCGGGATTCAACCACCGTTAATGGACGAACAGGGAATCGAACCCTGGACCACTCCCAGACGCGGCGATCTGTAGCTCGGACGGAACATGCCTAGCATGCTAAGGGAGTATTATACCACCAAACCATTCGCCCAGGACTTGTTGTGGAATGCCGTACGCCTCCTTGGACATACCACGGACGCATACAGCCGATCGGCAAATCCCATCCCATGATGCCATTCTTGAGGGCTATCGTTCATCCGCTCTAAGGTCTGAGTATATAACGTACAGTTACGTCGTTTGTCGCGTCGTTTGTCGCTTCATGTGTTTGATTGAACGTTATCACAATCTCATGAGCCATCTTTTCATTACCTAGCTCCGCCCACAATCGATCATACAATGTTTTCGGCTGTAAAATCTAGACCAAGCTGGTATTATCGTGTCCAAGGCCTTTTGAGACCGCTATCACCGTGGAGAAACCAATTTGTTCGACAACAACGCCGACCCACGCCCTGAAGACTTTGATGAGGATCTTTCCGATTGTTCCACTTTCTCTTGCGCCTCTAGAAATGGCTGTGAATATGGCACCGAAGAAATTTGCGAATATCACAGAAATTTAGACGTGGAAGGTCGAGATCCGGACAAGGATATCGACAAAGACGATCGCGATGACATGGTGTACTTTGAGATGAAGCTAGACCGGCTTGCTCGCAAGAGAGAATTGTGCGCACAGAAGAAAATGGATGAAAAGATGAGAAAGAAGAGTGACAAAATACAATGAGAAATTCAGAGAGTGAATGAACGAGAGATTAAGAGAGGAGAGGAGGAAGGAAGCTCAGAAGATCAAAGTCTACGAGGATGCGGAAAAAGCCGGTGATGTTTGGAGACAGTACAGAAGAGCACTGAGACCTTGGAAAACATATGAAGAGTTGGCTACTAAGAACGATATCGCACTCGAGATGCGTTATGTCAATGAAATCCAAGGCGCGCTCAACCAGGCGCAATCCCTTGAGGAGACGTCTACTCCTCTCAACCTCAGCCTCATGAAAACGTTCAAGCTCTAGTCAATCGATAACATCAAGCACTGCCCTTATCAGATTTCTCCTTCGATGTACATCGAGTTTAGCAGCAGGTTCGAATATGGCGAGTTCAATCGCGGACAGATTCAGACGCTAAGAGCTGAAAAGCTCTCCGGGCACATATATTTACTCGCAGACACTGTCTGTGAGATAGACAATTTCGCGCCACCAGAGCACTGTAGCACCAAAATTCATAACTTGGGAACAAAAGAAGAGCCGGTACATATTCAGTTCTTCAACGACAATTATCTGACTCTCAAGATAAGTCGCGAGACGGTATTTCGACATTGCGAGGAGAAGGTCCCTTGGATTGTACCTTCTTTTTTTACGTACTACGGCATTTATGAGAAATACATGGTTGATGAGAAAAAGCGGGAAGAGGAACAATGGGAGACTGAGGAAGAAATCCTTATCGAATGAGTGATTAAGCTTCAAGGTCGAGCGTATCGCGAATGAGAACTGGGTACTGCCAACCAGCAGTGCTGAGTGGTAGTCCAAAGGAGTGTATACATGCGGTGATCCTTCGCGAGGTTTTAGTAGCTGCTGACTGCATGTCTATGGATAAAAGACTGTCTTTTTTATAGTGATAAAGGAACGCAGATCTTGGCTTTTAGTTACCCGAAGTGATGTTTCCTAATTTACTGGCTTTTGATATTGGACTGTATCGGTGTTTGTCATAGTATCATTCCTCAAATGCCCATTAAAAGTAAACTGCCTCCTAACATATTCTTATGAGAGCCATACTCTATGAGAGCTCCGAAGTTATTGACATTTCTTTACAACATAAACATAATAATCAAAGCCTCCACCGTCTTCTAGTACCTCTACTTCTATGTCAAAGATGTTATCTGGGTTCAGTAACAGGTATATAAAATGGGGTTGTCTGAAAGTAATCGATATGTCCGCTTTTAGCACACAACGTGGCTACAAGTTGTTAGAGCCATCTTTTCCTGTCGAAAATATCCATCCATGAACCTCTTTCGGGTATTTGCATGTATTTTCCCTCACCTTCATGGGGGCTCCAAGGACTGCCGTGAATCATGGTGTCCAGCATTCCTTTATCAGAAGCGACATCTACTGGACCAGTCGCAATTAATAATAGCATATTTCGGACACTAACCCTACCCCAATCGATCCATTCAATTTCCTTCTGTCTCTCTGTCATCACACCAACCACTACAGGAGAGAAGCTGACGCATAATCGCCTTTGGTAGCCATGCTCAGCAAGCTTAGCAGGGATAACCTGTGCTGAGATTAGGTTACTTGAGAAAACCTCAATTAGCGATGGACTCACACTATCTCCTGAGCGAAGGCGAAGAATGCTTCCAATAAAAACTAAGTGCCGCTTCCAGACCCCTTTTAGCATCTTTCCTTCATTTAAATGTGATATTATGATCAACAGACTTTAATTACGGGCCAGCCCCTAGAGAGCTATTGGCGCAATTTCAAATTATAGGGTTTTAATATACATTTCTTTATCTTATTATAAGTTAACTCAGGGGCTCCCCATTACCCCTTGCTTCTCGTCGCCCTAAGCGACACATAGGGGTCTAATTGGCTAAAGGATGTCTTAAAGATCCTTGGCAAATGAATAGTTTCATAGGTAACAAGGACAGGCCAGGTCACAATAAGCAAGTAGTAATAAGAAGCCCTTAATTAATAAAGGCATAAGCTTTTCATATATATTGTTTTTTAAATATACTATTTATAGAAAGTGTTTATTAATAGTTTATTATTTTATTATTAAAAATTTTTATAATTATTAATATAGAAAAATAAAAATAAAACTTTCTTATTCTTAAGAAAAATATAAAGGGTTTACTGCATATAAAGCTCTATTATAAGGGTCAAAAAGCAAATTTATTATAACCCTAGCGTTTACATTATATATATCTTAAGGGACCTATAAAACTTACCTAATAAGAATATAACTGCCTAAATTAACTATTAGGAGGTATATTTAATAATAGACTAATTTAATATAAAACTGACTAATATTAAACTAATAGCAGTCTAGAAGTATATTACACTAAGACCGATAATAACCTTACTTATAGTTAGCCCTACTAGAGGATACTTTAGTATATATAAAATATATTTATTTACACTTTTATAGATTCTAGCTTACTAGCTATTAATAAAACTTCTTTATATTAATTAAGTCTAATATATATTAAATCTACTATTAAGAGATATAATACTTTAATAAACCGCTTAATATTATACCTTATATAATCTGCTAATAATAAACCTAATATAGTTTAGTTTATTTATAGTTAGGAACTAACTATTATATATTAATAGCTTTTATTTAGACTGTATTATATTATACTAAGTAATATAAATATAATAGCTATATCAGTCTAACCTGCCTAATAGTATTATACTGCTTCTATTAATTACCTCTTTACTAACTAAATTATAAGAGATAACAATAATAATTCTTTTAAAGAAGAAAATAAAGAAGTTACTTAACTTTAATAGTAAGTTATTAATATAACTATTAAAATAGCTAAGCTTTATTAAATACTTATAGAAACTATAAATCTTTAAGCCTAATAGGCAATAAGTAACTAAAATAGACTTTAAGAAATATAAAACCTTATAAATATTACAGTAATAGGTAAAGATACTAGAGAAATACTTAAGCCTAACCTACCTAAACTATTTAATAGAATCTCTAATAAGCTAGCTATATTCCTTACTTAATATAAAGCCTTTATAATCTACTATTTAACTTAATTTAGAAAAGACTTTATTAAAACTATATATATTACAGAATGCCTTAAAGGTATAGCTATATAATAGTTCTAACCTATTATAGAGGACTATATTAATAAACCTAAAACAGAATAATAACCTTAAATATTTATGCTATATAATAATTTTAATATATTTAAAAATATACTTAAATAAGCATTTAGAATAGTTAATAAAAAAGGATATACTAAATAATATATTAAGTCCTTAAGATAAATTAAATTAGCTTCTAAATATATAGCAAAATACTAATAGCTAATATTAAAGCTACCTTAAGATTAAAATATCTTTATATCACTTTTCTTTAATAGACTTAAAGAAACTATCTAAATAGAATTATATAAAATACTTAAATCTAATACCTTAGTTAAGTATATTAAGATAGCAGTAAAAATTAATAACTATTAATATACCTAAAGAACCTAAAATAATAAATATAATTAAAGATAATAAGGAAATAAACCCTACTATAATATAAATTAAGAAAGATAATAAGATATTAATATCTCTTATAGAACTAAATCTAGATTAATAACTATAGAAATTATACTTAAAGATAAATTAAAACTTACTTACTAGAATTGCAGTAAGAAAGGTTATAAGGACTTTAAATATAAAAACCCTATTAAGACTAACTAAAAGTATAAATTAGTATTCTATATTCTAGAAAGTAAAAAGGTAAATACTATTAAAAAAGATAAAGATAATAATAAACTATAAATAGCTATTTAAACTATTAATATAATTTAATCTAGATATAATAGATTAGGACTACCTGATTTCTTCTATATAAATAACCTATTCTTTAGTAAGGAAGAAATATTTAATATATACTATCTTAAAATTCTATTAAAGTAAAGATTTATATTAAATTGCCTTATTCTTATTAAAAGAAATAAAATTAAAGAAGAAAAGAAAGAAGTTAAGTAAATCTATAAATAGAAAAAACAATTAAACTTTAGTTATAAAGAATAAAAGAAATAATAAAAGAAAAATAAAAAAAACTAAAAAAATAAAGATAATTAATAATAGAAACCTATATTTAGTTTAAATATATAAACTACTTAAGGAAGATCTATTACTATAGTTAGAAAGGGAAAAAAAATTAATCTTAACCTAAATAATAAACTTAATACTAACTTAATTTTTAATAAAAATATAAATAAAGTATTATTATAAATATTTAAGAAAATAGAAATACCTCTTAAAATAGAAGGAGGCACTATTTAGTATAAACCCTATTTAGCAGTAAATAATATTTCTATAAGAGTTATAATAAAATAACCTAATTAATACTATAAAGATTTAAATTATATAGAAGCCTCTAGACTTACTTAAGAATCTAAAGCTAGAAAAATTAAAAGAAAAATAGGATAAAATATTTAGAATATAAAATATATACTATAACTTAATAAATTTAGAAATAAAGTATAGTTTAGTAAAATAATTAAATATACTAAATTAGCTAAAGTAAGAGTAATTATAAAATAAGATAATACTATTTATATTTAGTTATATATAAAAGATAAAGTAAAAGACTTAATAATACTTAAAGAAGAAATTTAAATTAAAGTAGACCTTAAAAAATATATAAATTATCTAAATTACTAATAGATATTTTAGGTATTATATATATAATATTACTGCCTATAATATAGGCAGGAAAAAGAAATAAATAACTACTTTTTAGTATAGATTAGAGAATATAAGGAATAAAAATCTTACTTAATTATTAATATCCTAGGATATTAAATTACTAAAAGATATAGAGGGACTTAAGTAACTAAACTTATAGTATATATTAAAACCTAAGAATAAGCCCTAAATTATATTTAGAATATTAAATAAATTATAGAATAGAAAAACTATATCTAGTAAAAATAAAATAAAGAAAAAAAAAACCTAAATAAAGATATCTATAAAGCTATTATAGAAGTAGATAGGCTAGAAAAAAATAACACCCTTAAAACCAGCTAAATAGATAAAGCACTGCAATATAATAATAATATAAAGCAATTAATATAGAAAGTAAAAGCAGAATTTTAATATAAATTAGCTATATAATATAATTGCCTTAATAATATTAACTATTATAAAAGTAAATACAGTTATAATTATCTATAAGGAAAAGAAACCTACTATCTATAAAAGAGCGCCAGATAAGTAAAAAAGCAGAAGAAAATAAACTTCCTATAAAAGCTTTATAAACTACAGTTAATAAATAATAATAAATATACCTAAACTTAAAAGTTAGAATTAAAGGTAAGTAGCTAAATACACTTATAGATAGTAGAGCTATTATAAATCTTATTTTCCTTAAAATAGTTAATAAACTAAGGCTACTATAGAGAGATAAGAAGAAACCCTATATAATATAAAATAGAGAAGGAAGTGCCTATATCTATAAAAATAGAAATATTACCTAAAAGATTAATTACTTAAAGGTATTTATTAATAGAAAAAATTAAGGCATTAATTTTAATATTATTTCTACTTAAGAATATAATTTAATACTTAAATACCTATAGCTAATATACTATAACCTATAATTTAACTAAAAAACTAGCTAGGTAATCTATAAAAATTACCCTTTAGATAATAAAAACGATTTAAATAATAATAATATAAGATTTTAAACTTTAATTAATAAGAGTAGTAAAAGATAGAGTAATAAAATATTACCTATTTTAAAAGGAATATAATATAAGCTTTATAAAGGCAGAAATAAATATATTAAATAAATAATAATAACTCTTAAAAGACAGTTTAAATAACTAGATTAAGATCTTTAAGAGATAAAATAAATTACTAAAAAGAAATCTAATAAATAACTTAAGGATATATCTATAAAATATTAAATTTATAAAAAACTATTTTAAAAGGAACTAAAAATAAAATTACCTTAATATATAAATTATAATATTAAAATTATACTAAAGGATAGTAAGAACTTAAAATTCTTCTTAATCTATAATCTTACCTAATTAAAGCTTAATATACTTAATAAATAAATAAAAGATATACTAAAGAAAGGATATATTAAAACTTTAAAATCTTTAGCTAGATATTTAGTTATATTTATATTAAAGCTAAACTTAAATAAATTATAACTTATAGTAGACTACTAATAGTTAAATAAGATTATAGAAAAAGATAGAATACTATTACTACTTATTACTAAACTTAAAGATTGCCTATTTAATAAAGGATAGTTTATAGCACTTAATTTTAAGTCTGCCTATAACTTTATTTAAATTAAAGAAGGTAATAAATAGAAAATAGCCTTTAGAATAAAATATAGATTATTTAAATATCTAGTTATGCCCTTTAGATTAATAAATATACTAGCAGTATTCTAATATATAATTATAAATATATTTTAAAAATACCTTAATATCTTTATAGTCTGCTATTTAGATAATATCTTTATCTTCTTTAATATAGAAGAAAAGTATATAGAATATATCTATAAGGTTTTAAAAGCACTATAAGATACTAATATATTTATTAAACCTATAAAAAGCTACTTTTATTAGAATTAAATAATATATTTAAGTTATAAAATTTTATATAATAAAATTAAAATAGATAAGTATAAAATTACTATAATTACTAAATAGAAAGTATCTATAACAGTTAAAGAAATATAATCTTTCTTAAGATTTATTAACTATTATTAATAATTTATTAAGAACTTTAGTAAAATTACTATATTACTTATTAAAATTATTAAGAAAGATAAAATCTTTAAATAGAATAATAAAGCCTAAAAAGCTTTTAAATAGCTTAAAATAGCTATTATAAGTAAACCAGTTTTAGTTATATTTAACCTAAAACAGTAAGTTAAACTTAAAATTAATACTTCTAATTTTACCTTAAGAGGATAAATAGGATAATATAATAATAAAGGTATACTATACTTTATTACTTTTTATTTTTATAAGATATATAGAGCAGAACTTAATTACCCTATTTATAATAAAGAATTCTTAGTAATTATTAATTGCTTTAAAGAGTTTAGATATTACCTTAAAGGAAGTAAATACTTAATAAAAGTATTTACTAATTATAAAAATATAACTTATTTTATAATAATATAGAAGCTAAATTAATAATAACTATACTATATTAAATACCTATATAAATTTAACTTTACTATAATATACTGTAAAGAAACTGATAATAGATATATAGATACTATTAGTTAATAATATGACTTTAATATAAGAACTATTAAGATTAAATAATAACTTCTAGAAAAGAACCTATAAGAGAACTATTAGTTTACTTAACCTATTAAAATAATAGTAAGAATAATAGTTATAGAAACAGATAATAAGAAATACAACTTCTTTTATAAATTTTATTTATATCTATTATATAGATATTAAAAAGTAATAAAAACATTTAAAAGACTATAAAAATAAGGTTATAAAATTAGGAAGAAAGAAGTTAAGAAAGTTATTAAGTAATATAACCTATATGCCAGAACTAAAGCATAATGATATAAACCTTATAGATAACTATAACCCTTACTAGTAATATAATAACTTTAGGATTTAATTACAATAGACTTTATTATAAAGCTACCTTTATTAGAAGAACCCTTAACTAGAATCTTCTATAATAGCATTATAGTTATAGTTAATTAATTTATAAAATTTTTATACTATATTATATATTAGGAATTAATAGATATAAAATAACTTTCCTATATTTTTTATAAATATATTATTAATATATATAGACTGCCTAAAGAAATCCTTTTAGATAGAGGAGGTATATTTATAGTAACATTTTAGCAATTACTTATAGATAGATTTAAATTAAATTATTAACTTATAATAATATTTAGACTATAAGTTAATAGATAGATTAAATAAATAAACTAAATACTTAAATAGTACTTACAGTATTATATTAATTATAAATAAAACAATTAAATTAAAAAACTATTAATAGCCTAACTTGCCTATAATACTATATATAATAAAAGTATAAAACTTATATTATTATTTGCAAATTTTAGATTTATATTAAATATATATTATAATATATAATAAAAGAAATTTATTAATTTAGCTATTATTATTAAAAGTAATAATATAAAAAACCTATATAAAGAAATAAAAATAGAACTTGAATTTATTAGAAAATAAATAAAGAATTATTATAACCTAAAATAGTTAAAAGGACTAACCTTTTTAAAAAGAGATATAGTCTATCTAGCTATAAAAAATATTAAAATAGATTAATTAATATATAAATTAGATTATAAATTTATCAGACCTTATAAAGTACTATAGAAAATCTTAAAAAATAATTATAAACTAGATCTATTATTAAAAGTTAGACTCTATTTAATCTTTTATATTTTATTACTTAAATTAGCAGTAAGCATAATATAAGTTAAAACTGATAATAAACTATAAGAAATCTTAAGATTAGAAATCTATAAAGTAGAAGCTATTAAAGATATATATAAAATTAATAGCTAAAGAGAATACTTAATAAAATAGAAAAACTATCTAGAAAATAAAAATATATAGAAATTACTAAAATACTTAATTAATGCCTAAAGACTCCTAAAGAAGTTTTACTAAAATTAAATAAAGGCAAAATATTAAGGAAATTATCCTTTAACCTAAAAGTAAATTAATTAATATTATTTAAAATATAATTAACCTAAAGATTTTTTATTAAAGCACTTTTATATATATTTAATATTAATAATAAATTATCTTATTGCTTTACCTCTTATAAACCTTAATAAGTAGCTTTAAAATATTTCTTTTTTATTTAATTCTAAATCTTATAAATGCAGGATAAATAACTAATAGCTTTAGTAAGGTATATTTATAAAGCTGCTATTTCTTTATAAAGCTTAAAAAGATCTTTACTTACTTAATTTTTATTATTCTTTAATTTCTTTTCTTATTTTATTAATAATATTACTATAAAATTAATAAGGATATTAAATTAAAAAAATATAAATAATTTATATAAAGAGGCAATATAAGTGCTATTATAAGACTTCTTAGCCTAAATATACTTACTATAATATAAGGAATCTGCAGATATAAAATATTTTTTACTTTTATCTATTTAAAAATAATAAGTATATAGTATATTGGCTTTTTTATATATAAATTTAACAGAAAGTATAAATATTTAAATTTTATAATCTTTTTAAGATATCTATTTAGAAATCTAGTTAAATATAGCAGGATATAATAATAAAAGATTTAAGTTAAAACTTACTAAAAGAAGTATAATATTAGTTAAGATAATAGGCCTTAAGGATAAGACTATTAAAGAGGGGAGATTATATTATAACTTTAATATTTACGTTATATATATCCTAAAGGACCTATAAAACTTACTTAATAAAAACATAACTACTTAAATTAACTATTAGGAGGTATATTTAATAACAGACTAATTTAATATAGAATTAATTAATATTAAACTAATAGCAGTCTAGGAGTATATTATATTAAGACTAATAATAACCTTACTTATAGTTAGCCTTACTAAAGGATACTTTAGTATATATAAAATATATTTATTTATACTTTTATAGATTTTAGCTTATTAGCTATTAATAAAACTTCTTTATATTAATTAAGCTTAATATACATTAAATCTACTATTAAGAGATATAATACTTTAATAAACCGCTTAGCACTACGCCCTATATAATCTGCTAATAATAAACCTAGCATGGCTTAGTTTATCTACAGTTAGGAACTAACCGTCACAAAATTAAATTATACACCTTTTTATCTAGGTTCCCCTTTTTAGTATCTACTAATTGGCTAATAACTATATAAGCGAAATTAAAGCTCCTTTTACACTTAAAAAATTATATATAAATAATCTCTTTCTTAGTTCATAGGTCATAGAACAGCACTCATTTTTTATTGTCTTATATAACACCATGTCTTCAAGAGAGTACCCTTCTTGGTTCTGGCGGCTGCGAGAACTACATCAAGATCGAAAGGCTCGCGGCCAGCAAAACAGATACGGCGATCCTGATTTGGCTGTTGAACCCAAAGACTTCGACGAGGATCTCTCTGAGTGTTCAAATGATAGTGAGGAATCGTGCTCCTCTGAGAAAGGTTGCCAGTACGATGAAGACGAATATTGCCTCAAGCATGACATCGATGATCAAAGTTCAGAATCGTCTATAATGAGCGATATCTCTGGGGAGACCTCAAAGACGGAAGCTGCGTATTATGCGCTGAAGGAACAGCGAGAGGAGCGCAAGAGCCAGTTAAAAGACTGGAAGAGACAAGGGATGAGTGAACGTCAGAACGAAAGTTGGGCAGAGGAAGCTGCTCAGAAAGAAATCGAGCGCGAGGAGCGTGAGATACAGACGGTCAAAGCCGCACTCGCCGAAACAGAAAAGTCCAAAAAGAAATCTGGCATTCTCAAAAGTTTGGAAGGCAGGGTCTTTAGACTTTTCTCTACCGATCACGTCAAGTACTGCTATTATGCAGACTGCCTAACAACATACATCGAATTCTACGCTCCTGAAGATTCATCCCCATCGCCGGACGATTCAGGCCGAAGAGAGCCGGTGGAAGGCCATGTTTACCTGATATTTGGAGACGCTTGTAATGTTGACTCATTCGTCCGCCCAAAGTACCCCAGCACAAAATTCCACCAGCTCAAAGTCAACCGCGGACGTCGAACAGTGGATATTCAGTTTTTCCATGATAACTTCTTGGTACTCAAGATGCCTCGCGATATCGTCTTTTCGCACCAGGGCATACAGCCGCCAATGGATGCGCCGCAAGTCTTCACCTATTATGGCATTGATGAAGAATATAACGTCCCGGATGATCGGAGGAAAGAGAAGGCTGAGTTACTTGAGAGGGCTAAGCGACTTGAGAAACCTAGGCGACGTCGCTCAGCATCCCCTCAGTGATCAGTCAATCGCAATCGCCGGCTCTTTATCAAGACGAGGCTCCTGAGTGTTTTTGATCACTGCTCATTCATGAATGCGACTTGACTGCACATGAGGGTAGGTTGGGGTTATGTGGGATTGTGAGAAGGGGAACGTTCAGATCGACCGGGGAAGTTACCCGTTACTGATAGATAGTTGGAATTATGTGTTTTAATACTCAGTTTATGTATAATGTGTCATTGATGCGCCCAGGGTACTTGTGATCGACAAGATCGCCATTCTGGGGCACTTGATGCGAGATAACCCCCAAATCAAAGAGCTTATAATGTTTCCCATGCTATACAAAATGACTGTCATAAGATGGTTAAATGGCCAGACTTAGTCAAAATGCTAACGCGCGGTTCATGTGATATTCACCCTCCCACATTGCCTGTTGATTGGATGGTCATGGATTAGAAAAGTCAGAGATCCCAGTACACCGCCTACCATCCACCCCCTCATCTGAAATGTCTCATAAACTATGATGAGACGTGTTCTTTGCCTTCGTACTTAGACCTGAAGCTTCTCTGAACCTCAATTCTACACATACCACGTCTCTTGAGCACTGCCGATTTTGTTTTGCACAGGAAAATGTCTTCAAGAACCTACCCAGCCTGGTTTCACAGGGTACGGAGCCTGGTGCAAGACCGTAAGGCACGGGGACAGGCCTTTAGATATTATGACGATGAACTACCTACCAGGCCCCAAGACTACGACGAAGATCTCTCTGAATGCCCCAATGATAGTGGGGACTCTGACCAATCGTCTATACTGAGCGACATCTCCGGAAATGCCTCCAGCGAAAAGGTCCAGTACTATGCAATGAAGAAACAGCGAAATGAACGCAAGAAGCAATTGAGAGATCGGAGGACCGGGCAAGGGTCGAACCAAAGCGATGACGAATGGTCTGAAGAGACAGAGGTCCAGAAGGAGTTGGAGATCGAAGAGGAAGAGATTAGGCCGATCAAAGAAGCCCTCACCGAAGCACAACAGTCACCCGAAGAGAATTCTGCTCACCTCAAAAAGCTAGGAGGTAGACTCTTTAGGCTCTGGTCTACTGACCACGTAAAGTACTGCACTTTTGAGACTGCGCCGAAGAGATACATTGAGTTCTACGATCCCAAGGAATTCCGAGGATTCAAAACCTACCCAGACGGTAAAATTGACGGTCATATTTATATGGTGTCGGACGACATGTGTGAAATTGATAATTTCACACCCCCCAAAAACCCAAGCCTGGACTTCGTTCGGCTTGATGGAAATCCAGGCCGTCATTGTTTTGAGGTTCAGTTTTTTTGATAACCACCACTTGACACTCAAGATGCCCAAGGATTTGGTGTTTTATAGGCAGGCAATAAGTCCGCCCTCGGAAGCGCCAGAAGTCTTTACCTACTACGGTATCTGCGAAAAATATTCGGACAAACTCTACAGAGCAAAGCAACGAAAGGAGGCTCAGGGAAAATGATGTTGTTCAGCATCCCATTGCCTGGTCAGGCGCCTATGATAGGTTGATTATCCATGGAGCTTCCTTGGTGTTTGTTCATTCTCACGATTGCCTTTTCATTTGCTTCCTCATCTTGGGAAAAGCTTTTCTGGATGAGATTTGGTGCAACACAAGGGACCGAAGTAGCCAGGACAAGTACGAGATGCAAATTTAGGTAATTATCAGTAAAAGTTTCTCATTTGTGATTGATCGCTGCAACCATTTGTCTTTCTCGCTCCTACTCAGCCATTCCGTCTTTTATCTCTCTCACAGGTCATCCCGACAGCTTGCAGTCACCACTTAGTGGAACTTGATTCGCCTCAGCAAATGAATCGTCGCATGCATCCTTGACTCTATTGAACTCGATTGTGCCTTGCAAGTCCTTAGCATAAGTCGTGCCATAGACCTCTTCAATAAACGCAAAGATGAGATCCAGCCCGGAAGTGACGCTGTTGAAGGCGAGAAGAATGGGAGGCAAGAGTTTCATGGCTAAGGAGTTGACAGAGATATATGCAAAACAATGCCGACCTACCTCAATTGTACAGTCAGAGTCACTTATATACACCAATCTGATACGGCGGAATTTGCAAGATTCATACATAGTTAGTTTAATGGACAAACCCGCTCGACCTCTCTTCGGCCATGGACGAGAGAGTTTGAGCATGTGTTATAAGATATAATCTCTATCCCTAGCACTAAACTGGTAGTAGTCCTGATTGCCCATGGCCTCGTCCCTTCACCTTTATCAACTGCATAATGCTTCCTTGGGTTTTAAATGAAGGGCGTACTGTCGACGATCTGGCAATTTAGACATTTATCGTAACTATCGGGCTGTTACCCTTCTGACAGTTCTGAAGTCAGCTGGTGGCAGTTTCAAGGGCACACAAACTGACCCAGGGGCCTCTGACGGTTGAGCTGTTGATGACAGCAACATCTTACAGTCCCCTAACTAGTCAAAAAGAGTGTCGTGGTAATTGAGTAAAGTATTACGATATAAAAAGCAAAAAACGACTTATTTGATGAGACTGGGACTCGAACCCAGGAGGATTGCTCCACCAGGAAATTGGTGTCAAGGTTAACCTTAACCTGGCGCCATAACCAACTCGGCCATCTCACCCAAGCTACTGCTGATGCTTCGTCGGCTCAACAACAGTATCTACTACCCTACCAGCCCTTGATACATACATCAACCAGTTCCATGATGCTCGAGAACATAATCTACATCTTTATCTCCTCGTCCCGATAGGTTGACCAGGATCCGCTCTGATGAAGGTCGTTGCGCTGCCAAGCGAATGGCAAATGCGATTGCATGCGCGCTCTCTAGAGCAATGATGATGCCTTCACTCTTGGCCATGCGGAAGAATGTGCCGATGACCTCATCGTTGCCAACAGTTGAGACTGATATGCGCCCAGCATTATGCAGCATGGCCATCTCCGGTCCAATCCCCGGATAGACGAGTCCTGAGGCTACAGATGAGACAGGCGCAGGCCTACCTCCGTCTTGTTGGAGAACCAGCGTCTTTGCGCCATGCAACGTACCTGGTCTGCCGTATGATAGTGTTGCTGCATGATGACCAAGTTTCTCGGATTGTCCCAGTGGCTCCACCGCATGCAATTTCACTTCCGCATCCTCAATGAAAGCAGAGTACATTCCCATCGCATTGGATCCACCAGCGACACACGCAATAACATGTTCAGGCAATGTACCATCAGTCATGACGAGGAACTGCTCTCGCGCTTCTTTGCCAATCACGGACTGGAAATCTCTCACAATCAATGGGAATGGGTGAGGCCCAATTGCCGAACCGATTGCATATAGCGCATGCTCTCGTTGTTCAACATACGCATTGAACGCGGAGTCACTGGCCTCTTTCAAAGCAGACTGCCCCTTAGTAGCAGCGACAACTTTGGCTCCAAGAATCTGCATCCGACCAACATTTGACTTTTGTTTCTCGGTATCGACACCGCCCATATGTATCTCACACTCGAGACCAAAATACGCCGCTGCAGTTGCGAGCGCAACACCGTGTTGACCAGCCCCAGTCTCAGCGATGAGTTTGGTCTTCCCCATTGCTTTAGCGAGAAGTGCGAAACCGACACAGTGGTTGATCTTGTGTGCGCCTGTGTGGTTTAAGTCTTCACGCTTGACGAAGATTTGAGCACCGCCAATTTCGCGGGAGATGTTCTCGAGAAGGTGAATTGGCGTTGGGCGGCCTTGGAGACCGATGCGGACTTTGTTGAGGGTTTGGTTGAAGGAGGGTGAGTGGCGGAGTTCTTGGTACTTGGTGGCCAATTCTTCGAGTGCTTGATGAGCTTCAGTTGGGTAGAAGTTACCGCCGAATTGGCCGTAGTAGCCATTCTGGTCTGGGTAAGTTTCTGAGTGAGGTTGATGAATGCTTCCCATGATGGCAGCAGATGATGATGGAACGATGGAAGACTGGAAGTCAATTGAAGAATATAAGCAATAGTATTATCAACCAGGCATAAAGTAGTACTAGTGTCAACTATTTATGATATTCTCCAGAAAGTAGTGCCAAGTCATGCACATCATTCGATATCGAGGGGTTCATTCGCAGGGCGCATTCTGACATTTAGGGTGTAGCTTGACATGAAGGGTGCAAACTAGCGCCATCAACGCACGCCAACCATGAGGACCTCAAAAGATTCATCCCCGTAAATTCGCTCTGCATTTGGAACAAAAATAACCTAGAGCTGACTAGGAAATGAACTCCAGGATGGTATCAACGAAGTAACTCTCGTTCTCCAAGTACATTACGTGTCCGGAATCCGGTACAGTGACAACCTTGAAGTCACCTTCAACACCTTTCTCCTGCGCAGTCTTGACAACCAAGTCTCTCATCATATCCACTAAGGGGTTGAGGTGTGCATCATGGTCTCCTTTAACAAACATTATCTTATCACAGCTTTCCAGAAGCTGAGGTACGAGCGGCCGCATATCAAAGCGCTTATTCTTCTGCAACGTCATCATCGCGCGCAAGCCATCGAGACTCAGAGTCGAACTAGCAAGTTTAAGTCGTTCATCTTGGTCTGGATGCTCATCGAGCCACTCTTTGCTCGCCCAGCCATAGTGCATTTGCCGAATGACGTTCGCAGTAGTGCCATCTGCCTCAGCCTGAGCACGCATCTTGTCGAAGTACTCAAGTGGCATTATGCCGAGGGCGCCGAAAGATGCAGGAGGGCATGCGCAGTATGCAAGGTTTTGGATCAATTTTGGGTGACGACAGGCTAGGTAGATGCCGCTGGCTGCACCAAGTGAGACGCCGACCCAGGCGCAGATGCTGTCGATGTGCAAAACACGAAGGAGTTCGTCAATGTCATTGATCAATTCTTCCATTTCGACGTCATCGACGTCTTTCACAGGAGTGCTTTGACCGTGGCCGGGATGGTCGTAGCTTAGGACGCGGTAGCCTGATGAGGCGAGACGCTGGGCAACAGGCTGATACAGAGTGGTGTCAGCGCCGAAGCTGTTTGAGAGGACAATCCAGGGGCCATTTTGCGATTTTTGTGCGATGCTGTAGGAAATTTTGCGGCTCGTAGAAAGGACGGCACATTTGATGATGTTTTGAGCAGAGGCCATTGTAGTGCAACGACAAGTGGAACACCAAGCGAGGCAACAGAATACAGATCAATATGGTAAAGGTTTGGGGCTGAGAGCTCAAAGATTGAGGAGCAGCTAAGGAACTCAGATTTATGCACACGGATACTTATTCTTCGCCGGATAGTTCTTTGCATTGTACAGCTCGAAATGTCTCCGAGCGTAAGCTGACGGATCCTCCGTCCTTCAATACTCGGTCCATGGTCAGCAAGACCTGCCAATGATGCTAGCCTTCTTTTTCTCAATGATTAGCTGCACAAATATAATTTGTGGTCTTCGCTTGGCATTCATGCAGAGTAGTATATAGCTCAAACAGTAACTAAGCAACCTCGCAGATAATCCTCTACGTCTTCCGTCTTGCACAGAGACGCCATCATCCCAACATAACCATCAGGTCTCACTACTGCAACGACACCATCATCTTTTGACACACCCAATACTTCGTAGACGTCCTCCTTCTTCGACACTCCATAAGTTCGCATTTCCGCAAATGTCTTTACTCCCGCTGGTATGTCAGTCCACTCGAATCTTGACGTAAGTGGATGAACTACGATGAGGTTTACAGTGCCTGCCGGGAACTTTTGTATAATCTCGCTGGATGACTTCAAGCTTGACTGTGAGATCCCGGATTTGTTGAGTAAGTCGTTACTTGTGAAGACGAGAACGTAGTAGCGACCGGTCGGTGGCATTTCTATGAAATAAGTCAGCAAATCGTCCTAGGCTTTTAGACCGAAAACCGCGTGAGAACTTACCATCTTGTAAATGGCGAGCAGTGGCATCGGCATAGCGCTTCACCGCAACATCAAGTAGTCGGCGCCCTGGTGTCAACGCGCCCAAGAGCGGATCTCCTCGTAACAAGTTGCTCTTTGCACCCAGTTCTCTTATCAGTTTACTCTCCTTGTACTGGAGTCCACAACCACTAGTAAATCCGCTGCCGTCACTGAAGACTCGAAGGAACTCTTCATGGGTGAGGCCTGAAGTCTCGGCATCTGCTGATCCGATGCGACCGGAGAACATGTGCGAGAACTGAGCGTCGAACTCGATAAGTTGGCGGGCTACATCTACGCGCTCTTGGGAGAATGTTTCGAGGATGGGGTCTATTCCGGAAGTGCTTGCAGGAGTGAGGCCGTGGATCTTGTGGACGAGTTTCCAAGCTAGGTTGTAAGAGTCCATCATTGACACGTTCATGCCCTGTCCAGCCTTAGGGCTGTGAGTGTGGCAGGCTGCATAAGGTTAGCACTATACCATCGAAGAGAGTGTGTATCAGGCTTACCATCACCAACAATAAAAACTCTTTCCACTCCATCAGACGTCTTAGCAGAGAATCTAGGAGCCATGCGCTGTCCAATCTGATAAGCCGCCCACCAATCTGGCTCAGTTCCCTCCTTGATCTTGATCTCGTACGGCGCAAACACTTGCCGCGCTTGCTCAAAGATATAATCCAACGTAACGGCGCCACGTCGCTTCTTATCAGCCGATTTCTTATCCGTTCCAGTATCACCGCTCGTGTCAACCTCTTCAGCGACTTGAACGTAAAGGCGAGTGAGATATTCGCCCGTTGCGATCTGTTCTCTGGGAATCACCATGACGGAACCAGCATCCGAGTGGACTGCGGATCGCTTGCGAATGTCGGGGAAGTTTGTGTCGGCGACGAAATCGCATACACCCCAGATATGATCCGTTGTTTCGCCTTCGAGTTCGAGACCCATGCATTTTCGGACCTTGGAACGTGCACCATCTGCGCCAATGAGATACTTTGTTCGAACTGTACCTTGCCGAGTTGATCCGTCTGGAAGATCTTGTTCATATTTTACCACGATGGGGAACTCAGCATTGCTGTCATCGACTGTGTACTCCAGGAAACGATGTGATCTTCTGATGGCACCCTTGCCTGCATAGAGATGAAGGTTCTCTTCTAGGATTCGCTCAATGCGGCCTTGATGGATGGTGACCTCGAATGGGAAACGAGCAGGGACATTGACATCGGGAGCGAAACTGGTCCGCTCAATTCCGGTGGCATGAGAGCCATTGCTGTTGGTGTTTCCGTTTGCGTTTGATTGCACAGGGTTCCAAAAAGCCACCTCCTCCATGTGGCAGCCTTCGCTGATGATCTCACTTGCTATCCCCAAACTCTGAAATACTTCAAGAGTCCTTGGTTGAAGTCCATCTGCCTGGCCAGCTTTCAGTGTACCCGGCTTGGAGTCCAGGCAAAGAAGTGAGGCTTCTGTGATGCCATATCTTGCGAGTAGCAATGTTAGAAACAGACCTGCAGGTCCAGCCTATAATGCGCTTGTAAGTACAAACAAGTTCATCAACGATTACTGTGACTTACACCAATGACGACGACTTCCTTGTGTTCTTCGGAGACATTGGACAAATCTGGCTGCTGAGAGAGTCGTGGTACAGGTAGAGCCCGCGAAGGGAGGATTCTTTGGTCTCGCGCCGCGTTGGAGGTTTCTTGAAAGACAGGCATCACGAATACCTAAGATGTAATTTGAATAAGCAATGAAAATGAAACTTTTCAATCGTTCAGCGTCTTTCAAGTCATGTTTATCAACTCAGGGTCACGATGCACCGCTTTTCTCGGCACGCACCAATTCCGGCAGTATCTCCGATCTTCCGCCCAGGCCCGGAACTTTGATTTCTCGGCAGTTTTTAGCGCAACTGCCGGGGGCGGGGTACTTTTCTCTTATTTGGGCGGAAGTCCGGAAATTCTCACTCTCACAAACAATGACAAATTCCGGATCTTTACCAGGTCGACGAAATCTACCGCGGGCATCGCATGCGTGCCAGAGATGTCGCGCGAAGAAGGCGAAATGCGATCAGCAGCAGCCTTGTGCTAATTGCGTGAGACATGAGTGGGATTGTGTCTACGGGTTGCGGAGGAAGAATGCGAGGGCGAGTACTGTTTCGGTGCTGAATGATGTGCAGCGCAATACACCGCCGTCGCCATTATCCTCTTCGCGAAGTTATTATGGTGAGGCGCCACGAGGGAGCGAACCGCTGGAACAGGCTCATTCAACGGGTCGTATAGGTATAGTAATAATTCTTGCCTTGGATGCTTGGGACTGACGGCTGGCTGGTGTAGACGATGGTGATGTTGTAGGCGACATCAATCAGCATACTCACGGCACAGAGTTCTACGGCACATCGTCCAATTTTGTGCTTCTTAATCAATTCTTCGTGTATGCTCAGAAGAATCTACCGCCGGGCCAACCAAACTCAAGCGGCAACGCCGGCTTCCTTTCTGCCAACGCTCAAGATGGTAGTGTTTTAGGACACGGCCTCGTCACACAATCGCCAATTTCCATAGTCAATCTCCTTTCTGACCGAGGAGTCTTGGAACCTCCTTCAAGACCAAAGACTCCCCCAACGCGAGCAGGTGCCCATGATGAAATCCAAGCGCGTTCGTCTCAAGAGACGAGACAAGAAACCGCGGGATTCGAGGACTCGGTCCATCGTGACCCTCCCGCAGCTACCAGCCAAAACAGAGCATCCGCGGATAACTCGCTATCATCCTCAAAACAGAGGCTAGAGCGCGAATACATCAGGCAGTTCTTCAATAACCTTCACCATCTTCATCCTATGCTTGATCCTATTGCTTTCGCCAAGCAATGCGAGGAGCTCGTCTGGAGCTCTCCAACCTCCATGGAAAGCAACAAGACTCAGCGTCATTTTTTTGCCTTGTACCATATAGTTGTGGCTGTCGGTGCGATCGTCGCTGGCTCTTGTATAACTCAGGACTTTGAGCGCGACATCGATATTTGCATGAAGCTTCCGGCTCGAGGACAAGATTTTAATCCTTCTCGATTAAGCCAAGAACTCTCGAAGAAGTACTTCCGGAAGTCCAGGATGCTACTCGGAGATGTTTTTGAAGTTTGCTCTCTAGAGAGCGCTCAGACACTTCTCCTCATGGTATGTGGCCCTCAGTCTCAGTGAAATCGGAAAACTAACCCAGTAAAGTCTTTGTACTGTCAGAACTCCCTTAAGCCTCACGCTTGCTACATGTACTGTGGCCATGCCGTCCGCACTGCACTAGCCATCGGTATCGCAAGAGAGACACCATCCAACTCCATCGAGGACCGCAAAGCAGCACGAAGAACGTGGTGGTGCATTTACTCTCACGAGATTGACATGAGCTGCAGTGCAGGTCGTCGCGATAGTCTTGGCAAGCCTAGGAATTACCAGATCGATCTGCCTCATATCAGAGGGCAACATGTCGTTATATCGAGCCAGCCTGACCTGGAAAATTGCAGTGTCGCCATGATCAATGAGATGGTTCATTTCGCTGCTGTGCTACGGCGCATCTCAAAGGAACTATACTATGACTCTAAGGGTCTGACACTGCATCAGAAGTCCGCTGTTGCGAAGGAGCTCGATCGCCTGCTTGACGACTGGAAGGCCAAGCTACCTAGTTATCTGGACTTCACAGCCGTATCGTTCCGTGAGCAAGAATGGGCCGCTAAACAGAAGCTTGTACTTCATCTCAGATACCTCAACGCAAGAATCGTTCTCCATCGCCCTTTTCTCGAGCAACCTATGCTCACAGCAGAAGCTAACATGTCAACTCACGCTGAGTTGTGTTTGGACGCAGCACGGAAGACGATTTGCGTCATGTATGATGCATACGCAAATAGACACTACTTCCGCACTTGGTGGTACAATTCCACTTACACCTTGTACGCTGGGATGATCGTGCTGTATATCATCATGCTTGGCCCGACAGCCGTTGCATCCGAGGACCTTCTCACCGACGCTGTAAAAGCGCATGATATTTTGCAATCAATGGAGGAGGCTACTGTTGCTCGAAGGAGTGCAAGTCTGATTCAGGAAGGACTAGAGGTAGCCCGAGCGTGTGTACAGAGGCAACAGAACAGGCCGGATGGTGATACCGAACCACCGGTCTTCGATGGTGCACAGGGTGACTTGAACAGTATTGCAGATCAGTTTTCGAGTGCTGTTTCGGGACAGGATCATGCTTTGTTAGCTTCGATCATTGATCCGAACCTGCTGCAAGATTTCATGGCGGCGGATCAGGATGCTCTAGGATTGGGGTTTGAGATGCCATCTTTGGATGGGTTGTATGGCGAAGCATTGGATGTTGATACTATGACAATGATGCCCTGAGTCGAAAGAAGGTTGAGCCGGTATCAAAACCTGAAGTGTGTATTTTTTGTACTTACGATGAACTGTCGATTTGTATTTGTATTATCATTCGTCTAGCTATGGAGTGTCTCACGACCAATTTCTGGCGAGCTGTCCATGATGCGTAACAACTCTTTAATCGACATCCGGAACCGGTAGGTCATCAATGAATCTGAACTTCCGTCCCAATTTCGCCATTGCCTCCTCAGCCTTCTCTCTCCTGAGTTTCGCAGCCGCTTCATCTGAGACGAGAACAAAGTCATATGACATCAGGGCGGAACCGATTTTGACACCATACTTCTTCGCCATTTCTTCGTCTTCAACCTTCTTAATGTTGACGATCAACGAGTCCTTGACACCAAACACGGCATCGGTAGTTTCGTAAGGATCGTCCTTGAGGTAGAGTGCGCTACAAGGGTATTTGTCAGATATAATCGGGGTGCCAGAGAAGGGCAGACTTACGTAATCAAAGGATCATATCCGTCTTTCTTGAACATGAAGTGCATGTGACTGGGTCGGTAGCAATGTCGGCCCAGTACTTTAAGCAACTTTCCGACGGGTCCGTCATGAGGAATAGGATATGGCACAGGTACGATAGCCTTGAACCAGAAGTCTCCATTATCGTCACTCGTCAGTACAGCTCTTCCATCCGGGCCAGTCCGGTCAGCGTGCTGAACATCGTAGAACCCTTTAGAGTCTGTCTCCCAGACATCGATCTTTGCTCCGGGGATTGGTGATCCGTTCACATCTTTGAGTGTACATAGAACAAGAAGCGGTTCGCCCTCTGAGTCCTGGGAGATCAGGCTTCCCTCTTTGACATGCTCCGCCTCGTGGGTATGAAATGGACCCAAGACGGTTCCTTCAGTGCTGCCTTTGGGTTTCGGGTGGTCAATTGAGTCCACTAGGAGAGACAAGCCCAAGATATCAGATAATAAGATGAACTCTTGTCGGACATCCGTGCAGATCTGACCAACTTGTGTCAGGAATTGGATAGCTGTCATCCATTCGTCTGTAGTGAGTCTTGTTTCTCTCGCCAAGTCATGCAAATGTGTGACCACTCGTTCAAGGATGTACTTCAGGCGCAGATTGCTGCACTGAGAATTGATGGCGTGAACATTCTCGGTAATATTATCAATAGTAAGATCTTTCAGATTAACAGGAGCCGCCATGATGAATGATGAATGACAATTAACAGTTCAATGAGTTCCAGCCTTCAATTCAGTTCCACCCCAAGCAATTTATCATTTCTAAACCCCGCGTTTCAATACGTCGTCGTTGTGGGGACGGTGTGATCCGAAGCTCGGGACCCGGGCTTTGAGACGTCGGATGATACTCCACAACCCGGAAGTTGAGGATTTCCGGCTACCGGACAAAATTATCGGCAGTTAGTCCCAGGGTCGGATCGGATACGTCATTGGCTCGATCAGTCAGTGGATTTTGCTACGTCGTCGTTGGTCGCCAAAATTGTACCTATGTGAGTTGTAGGGTAGCTTCAACGCCGTGACGTGAAGAGCAAAGCTGTCGATTCCAGAAATGAAGAAGTCATGTGTTCTAACGAGAAATATTTTACCGTACATCATGAAATAATCTTTTTAATCGCGCTTCAAATTGCAATACTGTGCTAAGAACGTGGTTTCAGAGCATCGTCGCAAACGATGATGATTAGATGCTCAGAAATAAAAACAAATCATAGGTATCAACATCCCTAGAAAGACAAACTGCATAGTAATTAATCGGATAAAGCCTGGTTCATTTCGATAACATCACTGATACTTAAATTCAGCGTAACTTTGGAATGACTTTCCAGTTGAAGATACAATATCGCCGTGGTTCATGACCTGACGACGCGATCTGGAATTTGGGTTCTGGACGCGTTTTCTGAGCTACGTAAGTATTAGTCAGCAAAGACGAGGTCGCGTGGCCCAATGGCAAGGCGTCTGACTACGAATCAGAAGATTCTGGGTTCGATCCCCAGCGTGATCATTCTTTTTGCTTCATTGTGCTATATCTTGCCGTGGCTATTTCAAGGACTGCATTCAATCTTAGCCCTTTTCATCGCCTGCACAGGGAGTGATTCACTCCGTTGAATTGACTTTCCAGAACCCTTCTTAGGCTAAAGTCATGACGGAGAAGCGGGGAACGGAAAAAGGAGCATGGCGGATAAGGTACCATTTTAACTGCTAGCATCGTTTCAAGTTTCGTAAAGGTTAAATACAAGGGCCATGGCATAATTGAGGTTAATTAAAGACAAACGTGTCAGGATGCCAAGCGGCGATCTCACCATTGGAGGATATACATCTCTCCATCGCGGGTGAATCTGCCCGACAACCGAACTCAAATATACCCTGGATATACGTGGATCTTTGACTTCTATAGTACTCGGAGGAGTATCCTCCGAGGATAATATAACTCTATGCCGTGCCTTGCTCAAGGGTGATGAACTTTGTTCCTCGCTCTCTTCACTTCGTGTCCTGTTCATCAAAATGCATGGTAAATTACTCAGTGTGCTTCTAGGCTCTGCCGTTTTGGCAGCGCCTGGCCAAGCCGTCAACCTTTTCGTAGCGGACTACGGCGGCAACCTGAGCACTCTGAGCCTCACCGAATCCGCCAAAGGCTTCGATCTCTCCGTCACCTCGAAAACGACCGATTGCTCCCCTGGACCTAATTGGCTCACGCTTGACAAGCCCAACAACGTGCTTTACTGTCTGGATCGTGGTCCCAACTTCCAGCCGCCTGGATCATTGAACTCGTTCACTATTGGCGACAAGGGTGTTTTGAAGCGCGTTTCTCGCGTAAAGTCTGTCGTAGGAGGCGCTGTGGCAGGCGAGATTCTTACCGGAGCAAATGGCAAGCGCGGTTATTTCAGTGCTTCATAGTAGGTTGTCAACAATCCTTGGAATTGAAGTTACTCACACACTGTAGCACTCCAGGCGTAGCATCTGTGTACGCCCTCGGCGACAAGGGTGCCATTACCGGTACTGCGCCGCTCCAAGAGTTGACCACGAAAATTAGCCAGACTGGCCCCATTGCGGACCGCCAGGAAGCAAGCCATCTTCACCATGTCATTATTGACCCTACTGGAAAATACGTCCTTACACCTGATCTTGGTGGTGATGTCGTCCGCGTTTTTACTTACGACAAGAACACTCTTGCTCCCATTGCTGAGGTGGGCAGCTTGAGTGCTCCTCGTGGTTCTGGACCCCGCCATGGATTCTTCAGAATCATGGCGAATGGAGAGACTTTCTTCTTCTTCGACGGTGAACTCGACCAGAAGGTGTACTCCTACAGCGTCAAGTACACCCGCACTGGCCTCTCCTTCACCAAGGTCTTTGAGATTCCATCGCTGAACGCTAGCTTTCCTCCCAACACGGCTCCCATCAGCGAGATTGCCATGAGCGTAAGTCACCACATATCTTCCGTGCGAGTCCTACTGACTTTCAATCAGCCCGACCAACGCTTTGTGATCGCCACCAACCGCGAGAACTCTTTCGCCAACTCTCCTCAGCGTGGATCTGGTCCTTCCGACACCCTCACAGTTTTCCAGATTAATGAGGATGGCACACTGAAGCCTATCCAGGCTGTCCCGTCTGGCGGGTATCTGCCCCGCCAGTTCTCATTCAACAAGGCTGGTGACAAGATTGCGGTTGGTCATCAGGTCAACCAGACCGTTGTCATTTGGAAGCGCGATGTCAAGAGTGGCAAGATCATTACGGAACAGGAGGGCGGAAAGTTGGCGCAGGTAAAACTTACAGGAGATGTTGTAGCCACCATCTGGGACGAGTAGCTACATAGAGAAGCCTAAGTAGCACGTAGTCGTGAAGAGTAACTTTGCTAATGGCTTTGGCTCTGGCTCTGGCTCTTTGGCCCACAGAATTTGTATTCCCTACATAAATTGACTGCTTGCGCAGCTATCTACAGCCAACATTCCTCAAGACATAACTTTTGTTTCGATCTGGTGGCGACTGAAGCTTTTGCCAAGAGCGTAATCGCCGTAAGGCGAGTCGGAGAGGGATGCACTGCATTAGTTTTCCTTGACACTGCCGGTTTTGCAGCTTCACGCAATTATTTTTCTTGGCAGTGCCCAACAGCTGGCAACTAGCATACAAGCTCCGATAGCTGAAGCGTTGCACGTGATCCGTTTCAATGTCTCTTCCGATCGAAATTTGTTTGTTTACTCTCCTTCACTTCCTCCATGCAGCACATCACCTCATCGCCATACAAATCAGATTGGTTCATCAAAACAACATGGCACAGCAAATTGCATCTGATCTGCGCAGCCTCGTATCTCCGCCGTCTAGTATGAACACGCCCCGTTGGCAACTCCCGCATACGCTTTGCAGGTCAGAACAGCCGCATCTCTCTGGCCTTTTCACAAGGCGTCGAGTGGATGAATACGCCACCCCGGGCAACAGGCGAGATTACATGTTTGAATTTCTGAGATGGATACGCAAAGAAACTCAGTCATTTAACTTGGAAGCTATCGCGAAGGAATGTCAAAAGGAAGTAAGCACTTAGTTTGTGACGGACTTTAACTTGCATCCATATGGGCCTTTCTTTGACTACGTGGTACTCCTTTGGGTTTGGCTTATCTACCGTGTGTCTTCTTCAGTTGCAATATGTGTGCTTTAGGTACTGACTCTGCTATTAGTCGATGGCATTCATCCTATCCCTATTTTCCCATGGGGATATGTCGGGGGAGTACCATCTGGTCACCCTAGGGGTAGATGGGATAGCGCGAAAGAGCTTCAAGCTGCTATCCTCCAGCGACTGGGTTGCTGGCGACCTAAGGACTGGGAAAGAAACATAAGGTTTCTCTACCCTTCGAACCTTTTCTCTATCGAACACATTCTTGATAACCGACTATCTACATTCAAGCCGATGTTCGAGTATAACTTCGCCGCTGTTGCTCCTCCGGGTGTCAGTAGCATTGCTCGAGAGCATGCCTCGTTGTCATGCCCCGACGACGACAAGGTGTCCGCCCAGAAGAAACACAAGCTCATTGGCCTCCCCTCACCGACACGCACTCAGAAACAGTCCGCCGAACTTTCGCAGAGCTTTCAGGCGGAGAAACCTTGTCCACCAACGTCGGAGAATGAAGAGAGCTTCAATCCTTCCCAGGAAGGCCAGCAGATCTCAGCCTGTGCCCTAGAATCGAATATTTCTCAACTAAAAGGAGGGTTTGATGATCACGAAAGCCAGGTTACTGTCCCTGCCGCGCGACCAAGCAGAAGTCCCAGCCTTTCAGCATCCACCGAACGACGGAGTACACTTTCCGTGTCACTCGAACGATTCGTCAACATGAGCGCCCGTTTGCATTGTGTAGAGGATGAGAACTTTGACATTGATACAATCGCATGGCTCGTCATGGGGCTTGGAGCCGACGAGTCTCGGAAACGGTTGTTTTACTTTTACGACCATGGTACAGCTGATATATGGTATTGCTTGGGAGATGTGTTGTCGCAGCCAGTACGCCATCTGACAGAACTTGGGTCATCCCAGGAAGCATGTATTTCCCACGGCTTATCGTGCAAACGCGTGATGGTAGCCCAAGATGAAACTGATTGTCGACGTCTCCGTTTCGGATCGGTTCATCGAGATGAGTGATGAGCTGGACCTAAAGGACGATTTGTGGAATGGAGAGGGTATTGATGGCCTTCGAAAATGAGCGAGTGAGGGCGTCCGTGAAAACTAGAGTTTGGAGCCTACGTGGCAAGGATGGTTATTAGATTGTATGGCTGTGTTTTGTTCCTGTAGGCGAAATGGCAGCATGGAGGGATCGGGTAATGTATGGCAAGGTACAGATTCGCAATCTATAATGTATAATGTTTATTAAACTCCAGTTTGTTCATGGCAATCTTCTGTCAAAGAAACAGTATTTTCATTAATCTCCTACAATTGGTGTTAATCATCTCTAGCGAAGATGCAGTGGTGTCAAGAACTACTAGGATGCTCCCCCGCTACATGGTCTGGCTCCGCCTCAAGGGAGGCTTCCTTCAGGTATCTGAATCTTGCTCCGAATACCCACCAAACACCAGAAAAGAGGAATGTTGCCCCAACAATGAGTGCGGCCCAGTTCATGTTCCCGATGTTTTCGCCCGTGACTGGTAGATATAGAGGCATGCTAGTCTGGAGTTAGCCTGGGAATACCAGTTGCAGTCTCTATCATGCAGCACTTACACGTATATGACAATGGTCAACATGGCCCATGCAACAGCAACATAGTTTACAAAGTATCCCCATCTGCCAAGATCAAAGTAAGGGCGAGGCGGAAGAATTGAACGGCCTCGCACAAGAGCCTGTTGAAAGTGTCAGCAGCCAAATAATAATGTCAACGAACAGTACTCACCACTGTAACGGGTATCGCGTAGGCGAGGGCGAAACAAACACCAGCACCACTGACGATAGCGTTATATGCCAATTCGCTGCCCAGAGAGATAAGTCCAATGATAACCTCAACCACCATGATGGCAAAGATGAAGTTTAATGGGATCTGGAGCTTATGATCAATCTTCTGGAGACGATGGGACCATGGAAATGCCCTGTCCTCCGCCATGCGCCAACCTAGACGTGAACACGAGGAGAGAATGCCTGTGCAGACAAGCAGCTGAGAGTTCAAGAGTTAGATGTCGATAGAAACAAGTGAGGTCTGCGGACTTACGTTCACAACGCCAAAAACTATTGCAACATAGATACCAGCGTACTCACTTCCCGCTACGTCCGAGAACCAGGTGACATACGGTGACCTGATCATTAGCTTGAGTGGTAATAACACGGGCAAGGGAGACTTACAGTGCTGTTACATACTCGGTATAGTTACCGCAGCAGAATAGTAAGATGAGATCAGTGACGATGGTAGCAACGCCAGAAAGGACCATAGACCAAACCATAGCTCTCTGTGTCGTGTCAGTACCATGAACTCTTATCAAGAAAAGAGACTTACTGGTGCATCTTGAGATGCGTTCTTCATCTCCTCAACCAAATGCATCATACTATCCGTACCATAAAGACCATAGAGCGGCGTATAAAAGCTAAGTATAAACACCCATCCGTTATTGGTGTATCCTGAATTGTTGATAAACTTGGTAAATACGAATTCTGCGCTGGCCTTAGGGGCTGTGGCGAGTAGAGTGATAGCCCAGCCAAAGAAGCCCAGGATAGTGAAGACGGCGCCGACGGTACTGTATAGAGGGAGTGCACTGGGCTTCAAGTTCATCAAGAACGGAATGACCAGTAATCCGAGATAAATCAAGAAGGTTTGGTAAGGCTTAGAGCGTTAGCGCATCGCATCAAATCACGGGAGGGAGTCTCAGTACCTTCCAGTCGACATTTGGATGAAAGATGGACACCATCGTACCGATGATGTTGGCAGTATTCAAGGCGCAAGAAGAGCCAGTGGCAGTCTCAGCTAGAAGCAGACACCAACCGACAAAGTAGGAAAGAAAAGGTCGGTACTTTTCTGTGGCGAGCTTCTGGACGTAGAATTGTTGACCACCTGCAGTAGGCCAGATTCCACAGTATTCAGCGAGCGAGGCCATGAGTAATGTTTGACCGACGGCGACGATGATAGATCCATAGAGAAGCGAGGCTGGTCCACCGACGTCAAAGATGACACCGTAGAAAACGACAACACACGTCCATGTCGCACTGATCATGACCTGGTAGGCGCATACTGTACTGCTGTCAGTAATGAAGGCCAAGGAACTGCTGAAAAAGACTCACATGTCCAGAAGTTGTAGACGCGATGCAACTCGGCCGACTTTCCGAGGGACTTGAGGTACGCATCGTCAGTATCATACTGAGACTGGCTGCCCTCGAGAACGGATCCATCGTAAGAGATGGGCTCAGCCTTAATGTCGTCTTTAGGGGGATCCATAGCCAGTGGAGTTCGGAGGTAGATGATATCGTCGTTGAGATTGTGGCGCGATCATGGACTGGGGGAGTATAGGAACAATGCCAAGATGCAAAATAGGAACCAATTTGGGAACAATGCTTTAAAGGGAGAGTTTGCGATGGAGGGCTGAGAGCGGGAAGATCTATAACTAATTTCCCAATGCGAATAGACAAAGCAACATGACCAGATACTGCAATCTAGATCCTGGTCGAGAATGCGGGGAAAGATAACACCAGGACAGCGACCACCAATGATGAACTAGCCTGCTATCGTTTACAGCTGCCATCATTCCACGCAAGCGCCTCGTTTCTCTCCCGGGCAGCCAAGTTAAGCCTTCCCCGGAATTCACCGCGCTGCCGTTTCTCTCCCGACCAGCCTAGGCCGGGTTAGCGTGCTCATATGAGTTCCCAGGCCTTGGATCGATGTGAGAGTGGCTTGGGCTTTTCTCTGACGACCAACCTATCTTGGATTAGTGACGAGCTAGTGAGGACCATTGAATGCAGCTTCACTGTAACGATAGAGTCATATCAAGATGAAGGAAGTCATGAACGTCTATAAATAATGCTCAAGGCTTCAGTAGAACTTCAATAGCAACGATAGAACTTATTACTGTTTCAAAATGGCTTCGTTGAGCACTGCTACCACTAAACCATCCTTTGCGCGTCTCGACGCAGCGGAACCATCCACGACGCCACAGAACCTTGTCGCAGCCATCAAGCGTGACGGGGGCGTAATTGTCGAGAACCTTATATCTCGCCAACTGGCAGAACAGATCAGAGCAGATCTCAAACCGCATTTCGACTCCGATATTCCAGACTTGTCTGGATTCTTCCCCGTCACAACGCAGAGAGCAACTGGCTTGTTTAATGTTTCTGATGCGTGTGTCGAACTTGCCTGTAATCCTCTCTACATCGATGTTGCAAATGAGCTGTGCTCTTCATCGCTGACGTATTGGGAGCGGGAGAAGAGGATTACTGTCAGCGGGAAGCCTATTATTTCGTCGACTGTGGCGTTTCGGGTCAATCCAGGTGGCAAACAGCAGGTTCTGCATCGAGATGATGAGTGAGTATACCCTTTTGCCACGGTCTGGAATCAGCGATAGAACAATCTTGCATGAGATGCATCGGTCTGGAACCCTTTGCTGATTGGAGGCAGTGACTATCATCCCCACGACAAAGAGCTCCCAGTCATGATTGGCTGCGTGACGGCTCTCACCAAAACCACCCGAGAGAACGGGGCCACGATCGGCATCCCGGGATCTCATCTCTGGGATAGTGAGCGACGACCATATGATGAAGAAGCTGTTCCCGCAGAACTAGAGCCAGGTGATGCTTTCATCTTTCTGGGCAACCTGTACCATGCTGGTGGCCAGAACATTACCCAGTAAGTACAAGCTCAACAACACGACTAGCTAGCCTCGTGCTGATGGAGTGCTCAGAAACGAGTATCGTGAGACAGTGGGCATCTTCCTCTGCAAACCGACTCTTCGCCCTGCGGAAAACCAGTTCCTCATGGTACCATTGGAGCGAGCGAGGCAGCTCACACCGCAGGCGCAACGTTTGCTTGGTTATGGCGTTTGCAAGCCATCGTTGGGATTCATGAACTACCAAGACCCAATGAAGGTGCTGTTTGGAGTGGAAGATGAAGAGACAGTGCTCATGTAAAGCCATGCTCCTATGATCAGAACACAATAAATGGGCTTATCCGCTCCTCGTTGTCTCTCGCATACTGTATCCAGTTCGGAGTCACTCCAGCTGCTGTTGCGTTCCAGAAGTCTCTCAAGAACTGCAGTACTGCCGAGTTGCATGAGAAACCTGTCGCAGCTATGTTTTCGGTAAAGAGCCTTTCGATCATAACTTGCTTCTCGGTGTATAACTGACTGGCTGTTCCAAGTATGAACAGTGGAAATGAGATGTTGTGTGAAACAGATTCTGATGGACAGGATTTCATGAAGATCACCTCGTTGTAAAGACAGTCAACAAGCGGAGGGATCGCGACCGTCTTCTCGAGATCGGAAGCAAGTGCTTGGTAGCTGTACACCAGGCAAGCGTAGTATTGGGCTTTGAGAACAGACTTGAGGCCTATCTGGATAGCGACATCCTGTGATGGGGTAGAGTCAATGCGGGCGCAAACAGAGTCATGGGACCGCGTGAGCTTGTCTTGCCATACAGTCATATCAGTGTCAACAAGTATCTTTCCTGTCCTAGAAGCGTGATTTCGATTTCTCTCGGTTACGGTGATCTCATAAAGTGCTTCTGTAAATTCTCTGAAGTAGTCACCAGAAGTCGCGTGCTGTGAGATGGACTTGTGGCGTCTCAAACTGGAGGTGAATGAGGATATGCTTCCGAAAACCTCCAGATAGTCAAGTTCCTCTACGAGGAACTGAGATATTAGCTTTTCGTGTGGGTTTCCCAGGTCATATCTCTCCAATCCTGTGCGGACACCGCTGAGGTGAAGTTTCCATCCCGTCGAATTTGGTATAAACATTTCTGCATAGCATAAAGAAATCATGGTGAGAATGATCTCGACGAGAGCCGAGACTTGGGTATTCTTATCCCGCCCGGATACTTCGCGGTGCAGTTCTGATTCCATCTGCCGGTTAAGATGATACAGAGTCGCATCTCGGAGATTTCGGTGGATCTGAACAAGGGCTGCCTTATCTTGGGGAGACACGACGGACATGTGTGCTGCGGCCAAACCCAGCGTTGATAGACGCAAGCAGGGTGAGCGTTGTGCAAGAGGAAGTACGAGGGTTCGCCATGGGTTCTTGGGCCCATCCAGCCACGCAAGCTTTGATGCGACTTCGAGGCTGAAATGTCGAAAGAGAACTGCGTGAGCTGCTTGTCGGACGTGACGATCGACAAGGTCGACGTTCTGCGTTGGGTTTGACAATATGACCAAAGAGCTTTCGGTGGCTATTCGAGGTTGGTAATAGGGCGGAATTCCGTCATCGGTGAACTTCTTGATGCAAAGTGTTCTTGTCTGTTTGTATGCACCATGCTTGATGGGAGGTCGTACTGGGATCGATTTACCTGTCAGGATCCCTCTGCTAGCCACTCCCTGATCCCATCTCAGATGAAGGCCGTAGCCTGGACAAGTGAGCCTTCGACTATAACATTTCAAGCACGACGGAACGCTTCGATCGCATTTTATTCGCCTTCTCACGCATGTTTTGCAATCTGGAAAATTAGTATACAGTTCGGAGCAGACATCGACCTCACTCACCCTGAGAAGCAACCTCACGATCCGACGGCAAATGATCGAGGCGAATATTGCGCATTTCGGTTCAAACTTCCACTGCTAGTCTCAAGATTCAGCATCTGATATCACTGACCGCTGAAAATTAGTTGAATTAAGGATGATCATGCTCACTTCCACGCGACGATTGACAGGGGAAGACACGTATCATGAACCCCGCTTTCCAACGACTTGACGTTGGTTGGAGAAACGCGATTGATACGAGAATGCCCTATCTTCATACCCGATTAGGAAATGTTTCACAGTGTCTTATCGCGATATGGTCATAAGTGGCGCTCATAATATCTGCGACGACCGCCGGTCGCTTCATGCTTCCCTTTATGGCTGCTGAGGGCATTGCTAATTTACTTGGACTTAATAAACATGTTACCTTGCATAGAATCCAGTGTGTTCCTTACAGCATTTGGCTATGAAACTCCATTAACAAGCTTGAAAATCCCCATGCCCATTTACAACCAATGTCTGCTTTATGGCCCTGCAATCGCCGCCATGGAAGCTTTGCGCCTGCTGGAATGCTTGTTAATATTGTTGATGGTGCTCCTATGGATCCAGAACATTGCCGAGGCTGTCAATGCTTTTGATGTTTTGCCTCGGGTGAGGTATTTTCCCGACCTCGTCGTGAATCAAACTCAAAAATCGAGTTCCTAAAAATGTCGCAAGACATTGAAATTGGTGGACGTATTTGGGATGGCATCTGGGCTTGCGAGGCTTCAGGCTTGGAGCCAATAAAGAGGCCCGGACTTCATTCGAGATTGTCGTGAAGCACAAGACCGAGACCACGTTTATTACCCCTTGCTTTACCCTCTGATTCACCTCAGTTTTGTAGCTTGTTGACGAATATTGAACAACCGCAGTCGATCCCCACGAAAACTTCTCAGCTGCTGCTTCTGGGCCAAATTACTGTTGGGTTGGGTTGCTCGGACTTTATAAATCGACCATATCCTCTTACAGAGTCATTTTACCATCAAACTGCACTTTTTTCAGTCGTGACGTGGGAAGCCTGCAAGAATGGTTCATGCCAATAATCTTCATCCCTTGCATCAGCCCGTCGCTGGCCGCTGTCTTATTAAACCCAATTGAGCTAACTCGGTTATTTTAAAACAATTTGATTTCCTCCAAATAGCTGTTCAAAAATGACTTTCAGGGAGTCTGAATCACTGTGTTGGTGGCGCGCCGTTGAAATGTCAGCTCACAAATATCATTCACCAAGCTTTAGATTTTCTTATTTGCAGTTGAGACTGATGGCTGAGAGCTGATTTCAGCACAGAGAACTTAGCTTCCAAAATCTCACCATTCTCCATCAAGAATATTCCAAATCTTGACATAAGCCGGTCTAGAAGGCGCAAAAGTCTTCAGGAGTCCCCTTTTGTGTTCACCTTGGGCGCCCGCAGGTCTCATAATGGTTTTGCCTTTTCATTTGGTTGACGCATGCCAAGAATGCTGCTTTTATATGTCGAATTGCTGTTGGAATCTTAAATATTCGTGATGCTTGTGCTTGTGATTTCGCAAACCGAAGCTTTTCAGAGCACATCATGGTCAAGTTAGGGATTATCTCCCTTCTGGGCAGTCTGGCCCTTCCAGTCGTTGCCTTTCACGATTTGGAGCAAATGCCCGAATCTTGGTGTGTGACCTACCTTTCGACATACCTCGTACCCATTTCAGCTGTCACAAGCTCGCCTGCAGAGAATTCGTTGCCTGGTATCGAATATTCTACGAGCCTGGATATTTCTGTCACTTTGAATCCCTCATCATCCCTGTCCTTCGTACCAGATGTTACCTTGTCGGTAGCAACCACAGAGATCGAAACAGCTCCACCTTCTTCCACTACAGGTCCCAGCACCCTGAACGAGCAAATCGTATTCCGTGTTGTTCCTGATATCCCGGACAATAACCGATTGCGGAGGCGGGCTCTTGGAGGGTTCGTCGGCTCCCCTTCAGAGATTTGTGACAATGCAAATGTGTTCAACTTGGTCGATGGGCAGCTCTTAGAAGGCAATGTCCCCATTTACTTCAACGGGGAGGACTACAAGGTGTTTAGTGGCCAGCGGGGGCCTGTTCCTAGTGGTGCCATCACCAGAACATTCTTCCGTGATGGGGATATTCTTCGCTTCCGAAGCTCACGAATCATTCCGATTGGGGAGGCCGGCTTCTGTCAAACCCCGTCAGATGGTCTAGTCTATATCACCTTTTCGTCACAACCTGCTGGCTGCATCGCCGTCCGACTCTCCGCTATTGGAGGTAAGTTTACAATTGAATTGCTGATTGCACAAGGCTAATTCCAATTGTAGTTCAAGAGTGTATAAATGGAAACGTCACTACAAGTGCCGCTGCTACAAGCGAGGCTCAACAGTTCTCATCTGCATCATCCCTTGAAGCAATCAACTCCCCCCTTCATCCTCTGACGAACTTCCTCCAGGAGTCTCAACACTCCTGACAGAAAGCAATCCTCCGGTTGTAACAACAGAGTCAAACGGGGTTGGAACGACAAAGAATCCTATTACACAGCCTATCCCATCAAGCACATTCAGATGGTCAAACATTTCATCTTCTTTTCAACCACCACCAGAGACCTCAAAGTCGTCCTTCGTTCCCTTTAGCACTTTCATTTTTACCTCCGATTCAAGCACCTTAGTAGAGGTAATTTCCAGCACGGAGATTGTTGAGCCAGAATCCTCCAGCGCTCAAGAGCGCATATCAACCACCGATGATTTCCCAGCTTCTGAGATCGGTACAACTACAGAGGAAGCCTCCACCCTTGAGAGTACGATAAACGTCACTACGGAAGAGTCAACCACTATCCCTACCACCCAGGAAACAACAGATACTACTACTACCGAGGCTTTAACAACCAAGAGTACAACTCAGCAGACATCAGACACTACTTCACAAGAGACGACGACGGAGATCACCACTTCAGAGGAGACAACCGCAGAAACTGCCACTGAGGAATCAACAACTGAGAACCCTACCACCACCACTTTCACATCTGCTCTCGACTCAACGACTGAAACCACCACTGAAGCAGCCACAACAACCACGGCAGCTTCAGAGGACATCGTATGCCCTTCAAACCCTCAGCAGTGTATTCGCACATTCCAGATTCAGTGCGACACGGTCATTGGAGGCATCCCTCTAACCTCCGGCACCAGCACCTTAGAGCAATGTTCTCAAGCTTGTTTCAACGATCCGAACTGTGTTATCTTTACTCACTCTGGAACCCAATGTTTCTCAACCACTGACTCTTCAAATAACCAAGGCTCGTTTGCACTTCAAGGCTGGGTTAGTGGTATTAGGTCAACTTGTTAAGTATAGTTATATATATAAGTTTTTACTTTTGCATTATTCAAAATAACGTCATTGTATATTACAAGTTTTGTATTATTGTAATGGAATAAGAATGAAAAGTAATTGAATAAAAAAACAGAAAATGGCAAAAAAAGAAAGCATGATTATATCATGAGGCGACTCTCCCGCCGGGAATTGAACCCGGGTCTCAAGCGTGACAAGCTTGCATACTGACCACTATACTACGGAAGATGAACAGGTTGAAACCTGCTGTAGCGGAGTTCGATACCGAGTTCGTTGCTAGCCAGGACTAAGTACCTGAACTTGAGCCAACAATCAAAATCGATTGCCAACTGCAGATCAGCAGTCCAGGTCGCGATCTGAACATAGTGTTCGTGAGAGAATGCCTGTAACTGGAGGACGTCTAGCCTCATTGGTTGCCTCAAAGTTCTTTATTTATTACCTAATTCAAGATTTCCAAGGACGCAAATACCGAAAGAACTCCATGCCTATTGATCCTTTTGAGAATGGTTTGCCCTGAACAGCTCAGCCTCAACGCGGGATTCCGAGGTGGGTTGATTGATGGGGAAAATCAAGAATTGACGACATATCTCATACCGAGAGTCTGAGCCCGCCGATCAAACGTTCCTTCTGCATCCTTTTATGGGTGATTATATCCACTGTCCTTCCTCCAGCTCCGCTCTTTTGAGCACTGCCGTGTTTTCGCGGTGTAATATAGACCTCAAAAATAACTAAAATCTGACGCTGACGAGCTATTTCTAGGTTATGGTTACAGTATAATGAAGATCAACGAGTTGAGCTGAAATAACGCAACACGTCACCAGAGGTGAGTATATAAAGTGAGAAACATCAATTATTTAGACTTACCTTAGCTAGACCTCTTCTTTTATTTCATAACGCTCCCTCAGTTCCGTCAAGAGCCATCAAGTTCGACCAGTTTCATTAGATCCTGCATACTCACGCATTCAACTGTTTTGTCTACACCATGAAGCTCGTTTTCTCACCGGCTCTCCTCTTCCTCGGCCTCACTACAGCTCAATACGGTGGCCAAATCAAGGTCAAAGACGACGGCTGCCCTCAATTCACCGCTGGCGAAAAGTCGCAACCTCTCAGTTGGGTCAAGGGCAACAACATCTGCGCAGACCTTTCCGACATCTGCCCCGATGGCAAATGCTTCATGGCATTCCAAGCCCTCGTGACCGGCACTGACAGCAGAACGCCTGCTAAGATGGGAGCTTGTCCTACGGATGATTGCTCTTCGGATTGCCAGACCTGGGACGTCGAATCACAGAGCAACAGCATCAGTGTTGACTGTGCTGAGTTTACTGGCCAGCACTACTTTTACTTAGGTGACTGAGGAGTCCAAGGATCGTCAGGAATACGTGCGATGGGGGGGTAGAACAGAGAGTCGTGATTGTTAAAGTCACCATAAATGAAATACAAGCACCTGATGTCACAATATATTTCTTGATATGTGCCATTTTCTTAGACGATAATAGCGGCCTTGAAAAGGATTCTACTTTTCGCACGCCACCTTTTTAATGAGGATCCTCGCAAAGATCAGAGGAACCTAGCCGGGTATCGAAATGCACGCTTCGCAACCCTCGTCCTGCGATTTACGAGACATTCGCTACCGCTTCGTTCACAGCGTTGGTGACATGCGCTCTCTCAGCTGGGCATCGAACAGTGAGAATTAGTCAACGCCAACACGAGATTTCTTTCTTGAGAAATCCCATCAGTTAAGCGAGAAAGATACACGATGGTAATTAAGGTACGGTAAATATACTAACGGCTTTATCAGTCTAGTTACCAGCGCACGCCCCAACTCCTGTCGGATATTCGCTAAAACTCATCACGGATCCGAGATCCACTGATTCACTCAAGCATGGGCGGTCAGCCTCACCTAAGGTTGAAGAGCTACATGTTTATTGGCCAGATGTATATTTCTCCGGTATCCTGACTGGAGCCGAGCACTGACTATGTAAATATCGTTCGTTTTAAGACGGCCGATATGACGTCGGAAATAAAAACTTATGTGATCCAGGTAAAGCGAAAGCATATGACGGCTATTATATGCTTATTCAATACATATTGCTTTTGTCCCGAGAGCTCGATTACAGGTCCCACCACCAAACACATTCTAAAAGTACCCTGCGCCGCTTGGGAGGATGACTGGGTTCTGGTAAAACGGGAGATAGCCAGAATGAGTAGGAGCTCCACGCCTGAAACAAGACCTAGGCTTGTGGCGAAATCCTCCATTTTTTCCAGAATCGCACCATTCACAGTCGCCAAGAGGCATTGGGTGCAGGGTCGAGGAGAGTAGTACGAGAATGCGAGGCGGTTTGCCGGATAATATATCTTGAGAGTTCGGCACTGTCATTGCTTTCATGAAAGTCATGTTGAAGGCTTTTCGAAATGATGAACTCGGCGTTTGTAGGCGAACCGCCTGCTACTGACGATAATTTCTATATCGTTCGCGGTATTCTTCGTACATATGGCCTCAACAATGTCAACGCGAGCGTGGGCTTGGTATTTTCCATCCAGCGACCTGAAACTCCCCCGGATGAGTCGAAGAAACCTGCAATCTTGGCGGGCATGATCTTAGTTATACTGGCGATTGTTGTACCGACGGTGGCAAGAGTTATCATTCGTCTCAAGGCCGCGAGAACGCAGTTTGGAGCCGATGACTTGGCTATCATAGCTGCTTCAGTGAGTAAATTGGTATGTTTGCGCCAACTCATGCTAAAATTGGTAGTCATTGGCAGTTAGCTATCCATGCATCGTGATAGCAATGCTCGCGCAGACAGGAGCCGGTCGACATACATACGAAAGCACCTACGAAGAATACAACCTCTATTTCTACTACCTGTCGGTATGCAGAATCATCTTCCACGTCTCGGTCGGTTTAATTAAGGTGTCGATCACACTGTTCGTTCGTCGACTTGCGGACAGAGCATCAAAGAAGTGGAGGCTCTTCGCGGATATCTTCCTTGGCACTGTGGTGATCTACATCCTTCTCGCGATATTTTGTAAGTCGGACTTTGTGCTGGAATCGTGAATGATATTGACTTTGCGAAGGGTTCGTGTTCACTTGCAATCCCATTCAGTTTGCATGGGACAAGAAGTTTGGTGGTTTTCTGGACAAGCCACCAGTGTGCATAGACACTGGTCTACAGAACAAATTCTTAAGCAGCATGCATGTTGCGCAGGTGAGCCAATTATTTCTTTGGTGTCAGTGTATTTCTAACATTGATATTCCAGAGTATTGTGCTTCTTCTCGCACCAATCATCATCCTTTGGTACGTCAAGATCAACACGGCCAAAAAAGCCCGTCTCTTCTTCATATGGCTTCTCGGCGGCACAACAGTCCTCGGCGGACTCCTCCAGCAAACGATGGTCACCATAACCAACGACTCATGCTGGCAATTCACATCCGCCATGCGCTGGACAGTGTTGGACCTGACATTCAGGACACTTACCGCCTCACTCCCCGTTTTGGACGCAGCAATAATGGGGACGTGGACCTCTATCAAGACTAAGATTGGAACGTCGGGTTCCCACTCGAGATCCAGAACGCAGGGATGGACCGACCTGGAGCATGACACGAGAAATACTACAACCATCAGGAGGGTGACGGCGGGTGATTCGGATTCGATTGAGAATATTATTAGTGGGAATAAGGGTGGTGTTGTGGAAATGGGGATCTTGAGGACGGATGAAGTCGAGTTGACTTATGATTCGGATCCGGGCATGAAGAATTATGATGTGAAATAGATTCAAGGTCGAGAAAAAAGACTCAAGATTAGCACATGAGTTCTTAATTAGCACCAAAATAGTTTTTGTTAATACCAAAACAATATCCATACCACATTTTATCTTCTATAAGACATCTTTCTTTTTAGTAGCAAGCATCAGGGCAGCAGCGCCGTTGCAGAGAAGATGCAGCGATGGTTCGAGGCTCAGTGGTTAGATACCGGGAATTAAATCCTTCAACCTTGGAATACCCCGTCCGCTTCGTTTCCATTGGGTCCGTAAGCCCGGATGATCTAGACAAGGCAAAAGGGCCTTGATACCGAGCGATGGGTTCCTGGCATAAATGCGGCGTGGTAATTTCTCCGTATATCCGAGCCATGCTAACGTTTTTGAGATCTAACAGTGAACGGCTTATGGGGGCCATAGGGTTGGCGTCGTGTAAGAATCGTTCGATCGGCCCCGAGGAAATAATTGAAGATGGAGTATTGGCGATCTGGAGGCTGAATAAGGATTAGAATATTTTGGTGCGTTTGTAATTATATTTCTATATTTCAGGACAGTATAGAGAACTCGTCTTGTCCTTAGATTAGATCGGCCAACATTTGATACTGATTTCTTCCTTTAACCAGCCGCCAAGCCTCTCCTTTCTGGGTACCCATGTTGATATCCACGTCCTTCGTTTAGTCTCTCTCACGCAATGTTATTGGCTTGAGAACGGGATACTACAGCAAAGTAGAACATCATTGCTATAAACGTCCAGTTTCTCGTAGACTTGATTTATCTCGACATAGAGAATCGCCACTCTCTACATCTCTCATCACCAGTCACTCATTTAGCCAAAAGTCCAGAGTGTTTTTCTGGCAGCCATTCATTTTTGACCCCGCCAATCACCTAATCAATTACAAATGGCCCGTTTCGTCCTCAACTCGCTGCTCTTCCTCGGCGGCGCTTTGGCGTCTCCTGTCCAGGAGCGCAAGGTGGATTGCACTGGCACGAACGCCATTAGCATACACTGCCGCTCGAACGAGGTCCCCTACACGAGAGACTTCTTCTACATCGGCGGTCGCTCTGCGAAGGGAACTTCCGGAACCATCAACGTTGATCAGATCTACGTGGAGAAACTGACACCATCCAAACAATGGACTCAGAAACATCCTCTTGTCTTCTTCCACGGCGGTGGCCTTTCGGGAAGTACTTGGCTCAACACACCCGACAACCGTGAGTGATGGGCTAGCTACTTCACCAAGAGAGGCTATGTTGTGTACTTGGTCGATAACAATGCCATTGGCCGCAGTGCTGAGAACGCTATTGCCAGTTTCCCCATGGCCGCGGGTTCAGCAACTGAGACTGTCATGAAGTTCTTCACTTCTCCCGAGAACTATGAGACCTATCCTCAGGCTAAGCTACATACTCAGTGGCCTGGTACTGGAGCTGATGGGGATCCTGTGTACGACCAGTTTAAGAAGTCTCTGATTCCTCTCACCACCAACTTCGTCGGCCAAGAAAACGCTCTTCGAGTTGGTGGCTGTGAGCTGCTCTCGCTTCTTGGCGAGAAGGCCTTCCTCATCTCTCATTCGCTTGGTAGTAGGAACCCTCTTCTGCTTTCCAACGATTGCCCCGAGTACATAGCCGGTAGCATCAATCTCGAGGCTGCTACATCTCCTTTCTGGTCGTACGCTGAGGGCCTGGGTGGATTTGCTGGTTCGCCATGGGGTTTGACCAACACACCTGTCACTTATGACCCTCCAGTCAGCAACCCATCCGGTAAACTCACCACCACTCTATCATTCACTAGGGTTTGCTAACGCTACCTCCTAGAACTTGAAAGTGAGTCCGTTGGAGAGGAGACTCTCGCTCATCGCAACTGTTATCTTCAAGTCGAGCCAGCCCACAAGCTTCCTCAGATCAACAAGGTCCCTTACCTGCTTTTGACTGGTGAAGCCTCTGTTCATATCACATACGATCACTGTGTTATCAAATTTCTCAAGCAGGCTGGTGGCAAGCCTGAATGGATCAAGCTGGCTGACTGGGGTATCAAGGGTAATGGTCATTTCTTGCATGTTGAGAAGAATAACATGCAGATTGCTGGTATTGTTGATAGTTGGATCCAGAAGAAGTCTTTCAATGGCACGAAGAATGCTTAATCTTGCGAATAAATCTAGCTTCTATAGACTACCCCCAATGATACAACAGCTGGAATTTCTGAATATGGATACTGGCCGGTCCTCGGACCCCCGCCTCGTAGAATTTGACCTGATACCGCCTAATAACTATATCGGAACGCCCTGTCCTCCTTGTCTGTCAAGTCAGACTTGGGCAAACCATTCTTATCCAAAATGACCTCCCCAGTGCTGTGACACTCTCCAGCTAGGTCCCTCTTCTTGTTATCTTGAGTGCAGAGGGTTCGATAAGCAATCATCGTCAGGAAAAGGAGACACCAAGTGACAATGCTGGTGATTACACCCTCTCGGTACCGGGGGCCATGAGTCCAAAGCTGGGGAGAACCAATGCAGCCTGCGCAGTAACCGATGAAGAACATACAGTTTACCAAAGCTCTCTTGGTGTTGCCCTTGACATTCGAGGCGGAGAGTGAGAGGAGAATTGACATCGAAGCTGTAATGCAAGACGACTATCCAAAGGGTCAGCAGATGTCAGATAATGGAAATCATTAAACTTACTACCCACGATGCAGCGATTAGACCCCAACCAGCACTAACGTCGAGCTTCATAAGGAAGACATTGCCGATAAGAGGTGGAATGATCAGAACCAGAACGACCAGCGATCGCTGTCGGGGAAACAAAGTGCAGAGGCCAACGCCTATCCACAAGAGTCCAATCTGAACTGCTCCCGATGGTGCCGTGTATAGCATAGTCTCGAGCTGCGTGTAACCGACCGACTTGATAACAAGAGATGCAAAAGTAAGCACGGGTGACTGCATTGTGACAAGAACACCAAACCAAAAGACTGCCCAAGCCTTTGGGTCCATGACTGTCTCACGGAGTTGGCTGGTGCTGAAGCTCGTCTTGTCACCTCCCTCACGATCACGAGCCATGCGCATCGACAATACCTCGCGTTCTCTGGGGCTCAAGAACCAAGCATCTCTTGGACCATTAGGCATGAGCGTAAAGAATGCGATACCAGCGACAACCGTCATCGCACCACAGACAAGGAACAGAGTACGCCATGGTGCGAGACCAAGTGACGTATTTTTTCCAATGCCGTACATGAGAAGACACCCGACAACCTGTGCAACACCATTCATGGTGACCCAAAGGGCAGTGCGAAGTGTATGTTCCGATTTGCGGTACCAGATGGATGTGATGGTGACGAAGGCTGGTGATACGGCACCTTCGCTGAAGCCGAGGAGGAAACGAACGGCGGCGAAACCGGCGAAGTTGTGAGGAGCTGCGAGACACATGCAGATGGTGCCCCATACGATTCTATTTATTGTAAGTAAGGATTGAGAATGTAGATGGATGAACATACACTGTAACTCCGACAAACTTGGTGAGGTGCAGTCTGCTCATGAGATATATGCAGGGGTACTCGGCGACCAATTGGCCAACGTAGAAGATGGAGCTGCACCAGGAGTATTGGGAGCTGGTCAAGTTGAGATCATCAATGAGACCAAAGACAGCGGCATAGCTGAGACTTTGCTTGTCCAGGTATTGAAGGAAGAAGACGAAGCACATCTGTAGAGTTTGTTAGTCGTGACAGAAGGTCAATTGCGTTTGAGTGACATACAAATGGGAGGATAACCATGTCGATCTTGCGAAGAACCGCCTTCTCCTCTTCAGGAGTGTATGAATCGTCCATGTCGAGGATCTCGCCCCTTGCCTCAGGCTCATCAGGCTTGGGCGCAGACATTTTCTTCTCGAGAGCATTATCCATGATAGCGAGTTGAGGATGGAACAAAGAAGAGAAATTGGCAGTGTCAATCTAAGTGCATGATGGACTACGCTGATCCGTCGTGGGGAACACCTCAATTATATCATGATCCCAACAGCTTGGTTCGCCGTTATCAAAAATTCGTCAAATGACAGCTCCGGGCATCGGAAATCCGGTGACAGGAGCCACTTATGGGGAAAACCTTATCACACTGCGGGGAAGGACATGGAGCCGATGAGATAGACCATCGATCCGATGGCTCACTGTCGGGAATAGTGACATTTTGCCGATGGCCATGTTGCCGACTGCGATAATCTCGCCCGCTATCGGCAATGATCGGCGAGGAGGGTTACACAACGCGAGGGGCGATTGAGAGGAGATTGTGATAAAAAGCCACTGTCTTGGATGGTTTCTCGGTCAATATCTCAATTTTATCTCACTTATCTGTGCTTTGAACGGAGGTTGAATTCTCAACAATTTCAACATGACTCAAGTTGATACAGTTCCCGGCGCAGACATCAAGCCATGGCTTCGTCATCCTCCCAAGAAGCATCTCTTCATTCACGCCAACATCATCGATGTCTCAACAGGCAACATCCTCAAAGGCGCATCGCTGTCCACAAAAAACGGCAAAATTGAGACCGTCTACCCCTCGACACCTGACCAATATCCCGATGGCTATAACATCGTGGACTGCAAAGGCCGATACCTATGCCCAGGTCTATTCGATGCGCACGTTCATCTCTGCGCGACACCTGGCTTCACAGACCTATCCCGCGTCTTTGGGAACCCCAATGATATTTCGCTGTTGCGACAGCCATATGTCGCCTCACAAATGCTCTACCGCGGTTTCACATCAGTCCGTGACTGTGGTGGCGCTCAACTTCCACTGAAGGAGGCCATTGAAGAGGGTGTTTTCCCCGGCCCCCGTCTGTTCATCTCAGGTCACGCGCTTTCGCAAACAGGTGGCCACGGTGACTTGAGAAGTTCTTACGAGAAGCATGAATGCTGTGGCGGACATGCTATTGGGTCCTTGGGCCGTATTTGCAACGGCGTACCCGAGTGCATGGCTGCTGTTCGCGATGAGGTTCGTTGTGGAGCGGACTTTATCAAGATCATGGGCTCTGGTGGCGTTGCATCACCGACCGACAAGCTGGAACAGCTGCAATTCACCACGTCGGAGATCCAAGCAATGGTGGAGTGTGCCAACAACGCTGGCACTTTCGTCACAGCGCACGCATATACCACTAAGGCGATAAGACATTGCATCGACAATGGAGTCAAGGGCATCGAGCATGGTAACTTTGTTGATGCCCCAACAGCTCGCCTCATGGCTGAGAAGGGCGTCTATCTCACCCCAACACTTATCACTTATGCGCAAATGGCCACCGACAAGTGGAAGAATTTCCTGCCTCCCGAGTCGCAAGTTAAGAACGCGCAAGTCTTGAAATCTGGCCTTGAAGCTCTCCGCATTGCTTCAGAAGCTGGTGTAACTATGTGTTACGGTAGCGATCTCCTTGGCCCGCTTGGCTCTGCTCAGACACAAGAGTTCTCTCTACGATCTCAAGCACTAAAGCCTCTTGAGATATTACGAAGCGCTACGTTGAATCCTGCTAAGATGATGGGGTGCGAGACCACTCTGGGTCAGCTGAAGGAGGGTTTCCGGGCGGATGTTTTGATCATGGATAAGAACCCTTTGGAGGATATTGAGATCTTTGACCATCCGGAGAAGTACATCTTGGCTGTTATGAAGGATGGCTTAGTGTATCGCAGTCAGTTGGAGTCTCTGGAGGTTGATGGTGGGATCCCGATTAGATTCAATTCGGTACTGTAGAGTTTGGGCAATTCTTTAAACCAAGGCATGGAACAATAGGCAAATTGAGTATCAAGCTGGGAAAAGCACAAATACAAGCTTTTTTTCTACTGCCTTAAGGACTATACTTTTAACACAGTATGCTTAATAATTGGCTCATGACAGCAATTCTTTCAGAGTACCTCCCTGTTCGAATTTACTACTAAATCACATCACGGCCTCGCAAAGAGTCCAATAAGCTATCTGGGGGGCATTTGAACTCCTTAAACATTTGATGCACAAAGCAAAGCCTCATGGCGCTAGATCGGGAGGGTAGCCTGCGAAGTCCAGCACATCAAATCCGATGAGCCCCATCAAAAATGGCTGGTCGTCATTATACATTGTTGACAGACGATACGTCTCAAACGAATCAAGCTGCTCGCCGGTCTGAGGGTGCGGAACCGGTAGACGAGACATGAGTGGCTCGAGAACCGCCTCAGTGCGTGTACCCCATTCCATATCCTCAGCCCCCGTAGACCAGAACTCCGCGTCGGCACCTGGAGGTACCTGTGTATTCTGTTCGGCACCTAATGCGCTGTCACCAATCGCTTCGCTATTGATAGCACTCTGGGACTGTTCTTGGTTTGACAGCCACTCTGCCCACTCATTATACGCAGATGATTGTGGCCCCTCGTCGGTCGCGTTGGCAGGGGGGTGCCTCGACCGACTAAGCTTTCCCCAAGCCTCGTTCGAGATGGAGCGAAGGGCTTCGACAAACCGAACACCAACTTGGGCATTTGGGTTCCCCGTCGCCATTCTTCGCAAGAAGTCTAGACCAAATCTGACGCGTCTTTCGTACCCGGGGTCGCGATCAAGGATACCGGCAATAAGAGTGACGATAGTGGCAATACTACAGCCTTGGAAGTCGGTGAATGAAAATCGCGTGGTATACCCTGTCTGGTTCAAGTCTTCAAAGAGCTGAAGCAGTTTCTTAGAAGCCTTTGCGCATGATTTTGACAGCTTTTCAGCCTTCTCATCAATGTTACATGGCTCTGAGTTGTCTCCAAGATGACGTCGAAGAGTCATTCTTACAACTGTAATGAGAGACATCTTCCCCATAACAATCCAGGCATAGTAATAGTTGAGCCATATATGAAAGACAGCGCGATAGCGTGAGTCTTGGGGCGGGATTGTCTCCAGATCAAAGGCTTCAGGCAACGAGTCTTTCCACTCTCTTAGCTGGTTCTCCAGGCTCGCTGTGTCTGTCTGGCGCGGAGGATTCGTTGCTGTTGACCTGCAAATGTCAGCATTCGAAGAAGAGCAGTAAGCTGCGACGTACTCCAAGTCAGCCACTTTATCCAATATGGATATGAGACGTGCGAAGGCAATTTGAAGAACAACGTTGTTGAACTTCTGAGAGTCGTCGAACTCTGGCAGAACAGTCGGTAAGGGGACCGTAATTATCCCAGGTGCCACCGATCGTGGCCTGTTGAGCTTTATTGTCGAGCATCTGCTTCGTATCAGTACGGATAGAGCTGACAGGAGGAGTGACACGAACTTACCTTTCAAGTGAGTATATCGACCACCACAGCCGACGACGAACTTCCCTTTCTCGCGCGTCCATGACTTGGTCATCCGAATCCTGATGTAGGTCAAATGCCAGAGCCTTTCTCAACGCCATTCCCGTATAGACATAGGACGATCCAACTGCATTCTGCGGCATGAGATAAACACCGAGTATCAAGCATACCTGGATAGATCTGAGGCCTGGAAGCTCGATTACATCCGGCACAAGGAGCTTAGCTTGCTCAAAGAAGAGCCTTCCGGGATCATGTTCGTCAATCCGCGAATGACCTGGTCGTTCCAGAGGGGTCCAATGGCTGCCAAGTGCGAAGATGGTCAATGCGAGACAGATGAAGCTGGGGTCAAATCTCAACGGGCATGCTTGATTTGTGTAAAACTGCTCAATCTCGTGAATTGTTTGTGCTTGGTCGAAGTAGAAGAAGACGTCAGTGCCGCGTCTGATACAGACGTGGACAAGAAACTCGGCGATGGACCGGGGAGGAAATGAGTCGACAATCTTCTTGAGGCGGCTCTGTTCTGCTAGTGATGGGTTGTTTGGTCGCGTAATATTCTTAATACATTCAGTCTCATGTAATGTCAGTTACGGAAACAATCCTTACAGCCTGTAGGTTGACCATGTCCTGCTCTTCAGGTCCGGATATTGGGTCCAAGGAGAAGGCCTCGCGTAGCCTTGTCAGAAATCGGGGCCATAGTATGCTTTCAGTCTGGTCTGTATCTGTCAGTTTAGTGTCTACATAAACGTATTAACGTCCTTACGGCTTTCTATAGAAATATTCTCTCGCGGCGTTGCTCCTGCTTGAGACGAGGCAGCTACAGCAGGAATAACAGCATCTTCAGCTGGCATTGGGCTTTGACTTTGTCGCCGAGACAACCTATCTCTACATTTTGTAAGACTTGCTGGGTTTCAAGTATGTAGTGGTCACATACCTGTCAAAGCGACAACTAAGCTGGCCAGCTTCACATCTCTGACAAATGCCTGGACTCGACTCAATGCACTTGCTTTTCCGAGCCTTGCATCGATCGCACCTGATAACGGTGATATCGTCAGTACTGGGTCAATTGCTCGCCTTTTAGGGACTCACGCTCGCGGTGCACGTTTCCGATTCTCTTCGGCAACGCGTCTGCGGCGGCGACGTCGAGCGGCGGGTGTTGAATCCATGGGTTCTGATGCAAGATTATGGAGATTTACGAGTAGTGGAACCTCGGCTGCTTGTCCTCGTATTTGTCGGTAATTTGTCCTGGGTTGGCGTCTTATCAGGTATTGGATAGCGCTCTCCTCTGCCTTTTAGTTGATTATCTTTTCCCACGCGTGTAGTCCGCGCATTCTGTTAGTGCCGTAGCAGAGCTGAAGTTGCCTACCCCATACTATCAACAAAATCGATCTACGCCTGCCTTTTTTATCCATAAATGTTTCGTATTCTCTGTTAATATGAATTCAAAGTGAATCGCCTTTGGAGGCATAAGCTTATTGTCTAAGAATTGCAGATATCGCTTCGTTATTATCTTACTACGACACCATTCAGCTTAACTACCCCACCTGCTGGGTCATCCATTCTACGTCCCTCTCACTGTTACGTTATTGACCTGATTCTTGAGGCACAGCTTCTATTGTGTTATTAAATTTCCATAATTACCGGTCCAAAGGGTCTTCTGAGCGAGTCATGATAGGCCCCTCATGAGCAACTTGAGTCAAAGCGTGCAGCGATGCCCAACGTCTGCAGCCAACATCTTGTCGATCTTCCCCAAGAAAAGGTTCCCTGCCGTGGGGGAGCAGCGAGATAAGAGCGGCACAGAGGGTAGCCCTGTCGAGACCCCTACGGAATTCCTACCTAAGCTAACCTCCGAAGAATAAGAATGGTAACTTGGCGACCAAATTTCTATTTTTGCTTACACCGCTCAGTGCCGGACAGTGATCCCCCGAGTCATTCCAAAATCTGGGGTAGCATTGATCTACAGATTGCATGAAATTGCTCAACTCAAAATTATAAGACACGTATCAGATGCGTCTATTTAGTCAGCACGGTTTCGAGAGTATAAATCAGGCTCCTAGCCCTCGTTAGGCCTCCCAGCATAGCAAAATATTCCATTTACTGCAACTTTCTCACCCAGAACTCTCTATATCTGCCCTGACAACTTCCTCATCATGGCGCCAGCCCAGACCCAAGATACACCCGAGAACACTCAAAAGAGTTCCAATCTCTTGGAGCATTCCAAGGGTGAGTCAGTACTCACAGACAAAGACCGAAAGGCTCTCGTCTTCACCGACAAGCACAGTTCTCCAGATGTCTACGTCAACTCCAGCAAAGACACTCTGTGGCATCCCTGGACAGGAACGCTAGAGCTCAAACCCCTCCGATTTGAAACGAGATCTGGTAGTTTCGTCATTGGGCTGAGAACTCCTGTCGATTGCTGGCTCGGAAAGCACAGACATCGAGGTACAGTCACAGCTGTAACACTTTCTGGGAATTGGAGATACAAGGAGTGAGTATAGGACCTCAACCCAAAGTACGTTTACTGACCTTTGCAGGTATGACTGGGTCGCTGGACCAGGTGATTATGTTGTTGAAAACCCGGGAACCATTCACACGTTGTTTATGGGTGCTGGCGCCGAGGTGGTGTTTGCTATAACAGGAAGCCTTGAGTTCTTCAATGATGATGACAGCTTGAGGGAGACAATGGATATCTTCAGTTTTGCGGAGCTTTACTATGAACATTGCAAAGAGAAGGGTGTCGAGCCAAATGAGAAACTATGGTACTAAGGAATACCAACCTGAGGCTCGGGTTAATAGTTTGCTATTGTTTTCAATGCTCAAATCAATAGGCTTTCCGAAGGGCTGCCTTTGGTATTGGAAGGAATATTTTCCCAATGTCTGACTCGAATTCCTTGTTGGATTTTTTCAGTACCAGGTGGTTCCGAGTCACCCATGTGGGCATACAGTCCCGATATGTCTTTGGAGATTTAATGATTAGCGCAAGATGCCCTGAAACATAACTCATGAAATATTCCAAATTTTACTTAGAAACCCAGAAAATAAATAGATTATTGATCATAGTAGCCAAGAAAAAGTCAATCCAAGCAGCACCTTCAAAAAGAATACTCCAGTATCTTGTAAAAGTCAGAATCATCTAGATACCTCTCCCCTTCCGTAAGGATTTTATAAAGGTCAAAATCATCCTTACCCTCCTCCGTTCCCTTGCAAGACGGCGGCAGCCCAGCCTCACCAACATCAAAGCTTGAAATAATACGTCTTCCAGAAATACAGTCCACAACAGCTATCCTCCCCCATATGCTGACTTCGGCGTTTAGACACTCTGGGGAGAGCTTGAAGAATTTCTCGTTGCCGATCGTGATCCACGTATGATCCCGTCTTAGAACCGGCCAGGTGGGAGACGAACGCACCCTTTGGCGAGGATGTATAACCACATGAACAACGCTGCCGTGAAGAATAACGTCCCCACTTCTTGGCCTATCAAAGGAACCTCGATTAGTATCAATATAGTGTTTCCATAGAAGGCGTTTATAGTTATGATATTCCAAATGCCAACAACAGAGGGTGCGATCCTTGTGGTGTGTCACCAGGGTCTTGCAATCCTCCGAATAAAAGCATAACGTAACCACGCTGCTAATGTCGAAGCAACAAGTGTAGTTCCCCGGTTCCACGTTGCACATCGTAATAGACCTTTCATCGGAAATAATGACCGTGGCGAAATCAGGTGAGAACTGGATGAATCCTCTGCCGCTTACCAGCAGGCATTCGAATTTGTTTCGGCGACGAGACCAAACTTCACGGCCGCCCACCGTATACAATACCACTGATCTCCCATTTGGTGATGCTTCAATTTCGAGGACCTTGTTATTCCTTCTTTTGGCACTTTTGAGGCCTTCTCTTTGAGTGTGAGGGTCCCATATTCGGACAGTATTGTCGTCCGAAGAAGCTGTAAGAATCATTGTCAAGTCATGAGAAAACTCAACTGACCAATTTGAACTTGAGGATGAGAAGTCAAAGACAGGTTCACAATTTTTGCTCTGAATATCGTGTATCAGAGCGGTTCGTGTGCTAAGGATGGTAATAAGTTTTGTCGCGTCTTCTGAAAACATCAGCGACTCGAATTTCCCGTCATACGAGCTTTTTAGTTCGTGCATGAATTCTCCGTTCCAAGCATCCCAGATCCCTATGCGGCCCTCAGCATCTCCGGAAGCTATCATGCGTGAGTCAGGAGAGAATACCGCTAATTGGACATCACAATCATGGCCCCTGAGCACCTTTTTGCATTTAATCGCATCTAGATCCCAGATCCGTAAGGTTTGGTCGACAGAAGCAGAGACAAGCACTTGGTTGTCGGGCGAGATGGCCGCTATATTGACCTTGCCTGTATGGCCCTTCAATATTATCTCGCATCTGCCAGTTTGTGTGTTCCATAGTCTTACTGTTGCATCATCCGAGGACGTGGCTAGCACCTTAGAGTCATGTGAAATGACAGCTGAGTTTACCGCTCCTGCATGTCCACTCAGAATGAGATGCTCCCAAGTTTGTGTCTTCCAGATTCTTACGAATTGGTTTCCACTTGCTGTGAGCAAGACCTTTGAGTCTCGAGAGAAGGCAAAGGCCTTTCCCGTAGGTGATGGATACTTCAGGACTTCGTCACAGTCTCCCGTCTGCAGATTCCATATTCGTACCGTACCACCAGTTGAGCATGAGGCAAGGATCTCGGAATCTTGCGAGAAGACGATTGACTGGATTTCGCCATAATGCCCCGCTAATACATGCTCGCATTTACCGGTCTTCGTTGAAAGAATTCGGATTGTGTTATCCGCATATATCGATGCAATGGTTTTTGAATCAGGCGAGAAGATGGCTGACTTGACTGTAGCACCGTGACCTATTACCAAAGAGCATGGTCCCCACTCATCCTCCACTGCTGGCCAGGCTAGAAGCCACTTTGGGACTTGACTTGCAAAAAGACGTCTCACGATACTATTTGTTGGTGAGAATACTATTGCTGACGAATAGACTTGCAGCGGAGCTTCTTCAATAATGGAAAGATGAGTTCGGATGAATCTTAAAGAATCTTTCACAAGGTCCGAAAGATTGTCACAGGAATACCCCTAAGGCTATAAGTATAGTGCCAACGGAGTTAAAGAAGATATCCTACCTCTAGCCATGTATCTAATGTATGCAACATAGTTAGGGAGTCAGTCAGATGACCAAGGAGACTCATGGCTTCCAACCAATGGAGCAGGTGCGCTTCCAAGAAAGGATAAATTTCATGGACCTTGCACTCTCCGGTGTCGGAAGATACAAAATGGTGTACCCAGTAATGACAAGCATAGTGAAGTTCAGGAGGGATGAACTCTTGCAGATCCAGCTCTTCAACCTCAGATGGAGATGTTCCCGGAAAGGGTAGTTTGCATATATTTTCATGAAGTATCGAGTCCATGACGAAGAGGCAACGACTGGCGAGTCTCCCGTGTGTAGCCTTTTCGTCCACCCAGAATTCCGTAGCTTCTTGTAAATCAGGATCCACAAGATAATCCCTGAATGATAGATGTAGGATCCTGACAGGGACTTCTGGGGTTTTGGGTACGTTGAGAACAGACTGAAGAACCTTGATCCTCATATCAATTGTCGTGGCTGGAATGTTAAGTAATAACGATAGAGAAGTAATTGTCAACGGCGTTGCTAATGTGACGATAGCGCCAACGATCGATTGGAAGCTATGGATAATCTCTTCCCGTTCTCTCCTCGGTCTATTGACCACCTGTGAAGCGAGAATGGAGGAATAGATGTCATTGAGCCGAGACATATGCATGCGGCTACTAGACCCAAGAATGTTTACTAAGAGCTCATCAGGCCCACCGAGAGTAGCATCATTCAGGAACCGACAAACAGTTGCCGCCGCGATGAACAGAGGTTGTGTCATGGAAACAAGCTGCCTGATCTTGACTGTGCCCGGCCATTGCTCAGCTAGCTTTTGGCCACTGCGAGCCATGGAATTGAAGTCATGCCGTATTATGCGCAATTCATGTTGGAGAAAGATAGATATGTCGTGCTCCATGATGTCTTGTGAAATGCTGTGGAGCTCGAGGCTCTCGTACGTGCCGTTGATATCTAGGAATCCAAGCAGAATCGGAAGTTCTGGTCTGCTCGTGATAAAGACCCTGAGTTTCAGCGAATCTAGAGATTCTAGTTCGGCAAAGAGGGAAATTATGCGTTTGATTTGGAATGAGTCTTCGCACTCATCAAGAGCATCTATGACAATGACAAGGGACCTTGGACCTGATGAAGAGGCTGCCCATTTCTTGAGAGGCTCTTTGAAAAGCTTCTCAAACTGCTCCCCGAGCGTTTTCGTTGGGAGCATCGGATCGGCATCGATGGCCTTTTTGATGAAACTGGTCATACCAGGGATGTGCGTTGCTATTTGGCGTGCCAGAGTAGGAATAAGCTTCGGCATATTCCCACGGGCTCCCTCTCCTCTTTTGAAGAAGAAGTTTGCACCAAGATAGCCTCTCTCCAACTGCCGCTGTGCAACAGTACGTGAAATGGTTGACTTCCCTGTGCCCGCCATACCATTCAGCCAGAATATGGTCTTTGACTTGGAACGCTCAGCCCATTTGTCTATCTCAGCGAGAAGCTCTACTCGCGTCTCTGGTAGGCACACCGGGCTATGTTCCTCGGCGTAAGAGTTGAATAGAGCTTCAGCTACAAAGGGTAGTTGGTCAAGGGTTGAAGTGAGATCAGTTTGTTGCATTCGATGGCTATAAAGAGATTAATAAACTAGCCGAACTTATGAGCTAGTGGCCTACTTCATGGAGTCCATCTTGCCTTCCACTGGTTTAACATTAGCACTATGCCCAACTAGAGTATGGAGATGACTGTATACTAACGTGACTCGAGTATCTCAAGAACTCGTGGGGACTCTTTGAGTTGCCGCGCAGGAACAAAGCCCAGAAGCTCTACAGCAAATGCCGCAGCGGTAGATGCTGCGTATCTCTGCCACTGATCATTCTTGTGGCTATCGGCATAATCACAAATTCCCCGAATAACAAGGCATGGAAACTTATCAACCAAGCCTACGGCTTCCATCTCAACACACAGGCATCGATGGCCCATGCTCTCTGCGAGGCTATCTCTGAACTTAGCGTCCTTGATAAGAGTGTTGCCCGAAGCAATAACTCCATAATGGATCATCGGGTCTGTGGTTTCCCGTTCCTCACGATAGATTCTGCAAGATACATCGCACTTCGTACATGTCTTCTCGCCAATATGCTCATAGTCTGATGGGAAAAGACGGTCGTTCTCTGAGCCCTGGTAGGTGAAGTTACTACTGGGTCGTGTCATACCAGGGTTAGCTTTCAGCATAGCCGTGAGGATTCGCGGTATTTTGGAAGGTCGTATCTCATGCTCGGCCTGCAAGTTGGCCAGGGCTTTCAATAGAACTGCAGGTGGTTTGTCAATCGAGCCTGTCCGTTCCCAACCTCCACTCGATTTCGCCTTGCCAAAATCGTATTGCACGACGCCTCCAGTAACACCATACGGCTGACCGACAACAACATCGCCAAGTCTAATGTCCTGATCGTCGTTAGGTCTGGCTATATCTCCACCAATACCGACCAAGAGACCAAACCGGATTTGCGGCAAAGAATGCACAAGGTCCGAGGCGGTGGTAGCAGCGGAGGTTGTTCCATAGACTCCTGCTGGTAGAGACGCAATGACGATGTTGTGTTGTCCTACACTACCCCAGATATAATTATTTGTATCCGAAAGAGATGGGTGAAAGTTGTTTGGTTCAGAGTGTTCCTCGTCCAGTAGTGCCCTTGCTGCTGCTTGCTCAATGGCCAGGGCCACGATCCATCCAATAGTATAGAGAGACGGACTATCGAGCCTCTTCTTTTCGCCCTCCATGCCTCTGTTGATTTCTTACCAAATCAAGTTACATATGCTGTTATCATCGAGCTTCAGCATCACAAAACTAAATGCATGGCAAGATCGGTGAACAGGCAGATAAGCAGAGGTCAGGATGCGGGGTTGCGGCTGAGCACGTTTGGTCATCCGATTTGATATAGGACACTCGGAACAATATCCATTCCGGAATCGTGCATTTTCGTGCGGCTGAAAGTTGGTTGGATGGGTCGCAAAATCAGGCTGAGCTGATAGTAGACCCTGTAGAAGGAGAGATTGCAAAGCTCCTCATAGAGGAGACATGTCTGGCACATCCAGATATAATAATTTGGGAGCAAAGACTTCTATATAGCAGAGGTTACTTATGGTGATTATTATCACATTATTAATAAGATATATGTGTAGGTTAAGTGTTGTAGAAGGTTTCCCTGATATAAACTAAAAGTCCGGGATCAATGATAGGACGCTGAAGCTTATCGTTTCTTAGTAATATGTATTAAACGAAGTAAAAGAACGTTTTAAGGAAAGATATTATCCTATCCCATCACTAAATATCGTAAAATAGCACGCAAGACTTTGGCCGAAATGACCCTTTTGACTCTTATAATATTAAACATCTAAAGTCGCAATAATCTGCAGATTCTCATTCCGACAAAATATATTATAACCATAGTTTAAGACTAAATACACTTTAAGCACTCTGTCTCTAAAAGATGCTTTGCCGTTGGCGTGGTTATCCTCTAAAGCCTAAATGGAACCCACTGTCAGGCCTTTGTCAAGTAGTATCAGGGTTTTGCGGTTACTTGCCTGGTTTTTATGAAGATGGGGGCTGCTATGAATATCGCCTATGTCAGGCCTCTCCGTACAAGAGTGTGAGCAGCGATCCGCCTTGTTGGCTTGTTCATCGCCATTGCCCAGCTAGTAGACGATGTGGGTGGCTGCCATCTAAGAGGTTAAGCTGGTAGCTCTCCTTCCTTCACCAGCGTTGGGGCTATCCTCTTATTCTCGAATGCACCAGGGGCCGGCTGCTCAGTGGGCGGGATATTCTGCTCGGAGTCGGGACGCTTTGAGCGAATTACACAGCGAAAGTTGAACGGGATGGACTTTTCATCAGGTTCTTGGGCCTGGACACCACGAAAGACGACTGGAATCACCATGGGGTACATGGAATGATTCGTGGAGCTCTTGTTGCGAATGATAATCTTTTTCAGCTTGCTGTGGCGGTACACCGTGGCTGGTGGTGCTGGCACAGTGAGTTGGTCGCCATCATCGCGGGCTACCTTAGGGCGTTTGCCGCCCCTGACGAGAACAATCTTGGTGACACGACCGGTAGAGGTAGGAGCCTGGTCTTGAGGCTCAGACTCCTCAGCCTTTCGCTTCTTGGATCGTGTGCAAGTCATGGTGAGGAGGTCGTGAGGGTGAATGTACAAGTTGACGATGTACAGAGCTGAAGTGTACAAGGTGGTGGTGTACAGTAAGATAGTACACAAGATACTATATCAGGAGAAGCTGAATGGATCCGTGATGTATTTGCAAAGTTCAGTTTTCTGTATTGGAACCATAGAGAGGCTGATTTTATAGACGGGGAAACTTTTCTTTTGCGTCAGAACTTCAAAAGTACTTTCGAATCATCAGAGTATCTGAACCCAATATTCGCAGAGAGGAAAGCAGAGATTAAGGCAACTTTTGTTTTTGAGCTAAAGGAAATTCGAAATTGAGGTAGTATAAATTCTGCGCAAGTTTCCAATGAAACATCAGTGGTTAAGACCACATTCAGGTTCAAAAGAATGAAAGCTTAAGCAGACCACCATCACATCAGCTATCACTTTTGATCGGTTGTATGAAGAACGCCTACTACTGGTCCTTTGAGAAAGGAGAAAACGAAGCAAAGACATGCGCTGTTTATTCGTATAACCACCAGGGGCTGGAGCATTCTCTACCGGCTAATCCAGAATTGAGTATCAAAACAGGGTTTTTACAGTGAAAACATTCGCAACCCACACCAAAGTCAAACTTTGGCAACAAAATCTTGTTTTTTGGTTGTCAGAACGTGCTAGACTTCCCATTGAGCATGTATTGCAGGAATGGGTGGCCATCGAGGACAACCTGTCAGTGCCCATACAATAGCAGATCTACGCTGTGACTCACATGAATGCCAACCGTCGTCGGCGGCTGCCTTGAGCATGCAATGGTGTAGGCTACGTTCCTAGGTGGGGTGCTCTTCAGAGGTCAGGCATGAAAGGAAGATTTGTGAGGTCGTAAGCCTGCTTAACGTGAACTGCGACCCACGCTGAGAATCTTGATGTTTGTAAAAGGTCTCTCACTCAGAAAATAATATTTAATGTACGATTACTATAATAATACCTGCCCTGATTCGCGTACCTCATCACCCTTTCGTCGCCAGAAGTTTCCGGAGCAATTTGACAATCCCACTTTTTGCGTTCTGCTCTGCCAGTTTCAGAGGCGTATTGCCTTGCTTGTTCCTCCCATCAACAGTCGCTCCCTGATCAATCAGCATCTTTACGACACCCATGTGGTCATAGAGACATGCTCGTGATAATGGCGTGTCTCCATTATGATCCTTGACGTCTATATCGGCCCCTTTCTCCAGCAGTAGCTTGACAAGACCCTCCCTCCCTTTTCTAGCAGCAGCTGAAAGTGGCGTACTCCCATCGTAAGTCTTTGTGTGAATATCGGCTCCTGCATCGATCAGCTGCTGGATCACATCCATATGACCATAGTTACAGGCTCGTAACAGGGGCGAGTCTCCAGCTTGGTTCTCCGCCTCTACATTAGCTCCTTTCTCCAGTAGCACTTTTACAACGCCATCCTTTCCTTTTCTAGCTGCAATGGAGAGGGGCGTACTCCCATCGGAAGTTCGTGCTTCAATATCAGCCCCCTTCTCGAGAAGCAGCGACGCTATCGCTTCGTGCCCTACCGAAGCTGCCAGCGCCAAGGGGGTGTATGTATACTTGTCTTGAGCTTCTAACATCGCGCCGCTATCGAGTAAGTACTTTGCGGCGGAGACCCGTCCGTACACTGCTGCATACATAAGAGCCGTGTATGAGTTATCCGGGTTTCTCACTTCCAAGTCTGCACCTTTTCCAATGAGAAGTTGCAAAATAGCGTTTTTTCCGTTGGCGGCAGCCCAGAGTAGGGGAATGAATCCACCCATGCTTTGCTGGCCATTAACCAGACTTGTCGTTCGAACGTTGCTTGGGCCCGTAGAAACCGGGGTATCTGTGTTTTGGGCTGCTTTTTGCTTGTCCAATTGGCTCTGTATCATAGTTTCGGCCCAACTTATTGGACCCTTGGCCCCATCGATTTTCTCGATATTTAGAATATTCTTTCCTGACTTTTCTTCCAGCTCAACCAGCCTGTCTTTCTTTTCTGATATTATCGTATCATATTCGCTCATTTTCACCTCCATCAACTTGATTTTGGCTTCGATCCCTCCCCTCTCCACTGCGAGCTGTCTCTCCTTTTCCACTACCTTGTCCAGCTCGCCTTTCAACGACATGAGTTCGCTGATAGCCGCAGTCTGCTCTTCAATCGCGTTGTCGATAGTTTCTTCTATGTAATCACCTTCGCGAAGGGATGAAATCAACATGTCCATTTCGATCGCCTTGAAGATACGCTGGGACATGTCTGCATTAGGTACTGGCCCCCAGATACTCCTGGCTAGTCTCAGTAGGAAGATTGATCCTTGCGAGATATCTTCGCTTTGCACAGAGACCTCGATAATGTCATTTCCATTGTATATGACATTATCACGCAAGTGCTGGGATTGCATGTACTCCAGACCTCCGGCTATCTTAGCCAGGTCTGGCTTTTCAGGCGCTGCTATTGCAAAGCAGGTCGCACGAGAATACTGCGCATGGAGGTTGAGATCCAATACGACAATAATATCGCGGCTTTCCTTTGCTTTGGTAGTAAAGCGGGCGAGGTATCTCTGTCTCACAGTCTGATTTGAATCGTGCAAGTTCATGACCAGAGCACGGCCCCGGTCCCACTCAAGTGGTGGCCAAACTTCCGCGAGATGTAATTTAAGCTTCTGATGGCCATCTATATGAAGCCAGATTGGTTTCCCTGTCATTTCTGCTGGTCGAGCCTGGCGATCCACGCGGATGCGGACTTCATGGACTTCGTAGCAGTCACTCCGTTCCCCGGGGAGAAGAATAGGACCATATCCAATCGGTCGGATATACTCCCTGACTGTCGAAAATGAAGGCGTTGTGCAGCGCAGCGGAATAGCTATGTTGCCTTCTGTCGTGTTTTCGAGGCCACAGTTGAGTTGGCCATATGCTACTCCGCTTTTTGTACTCTGTAACTTGAGCGAAGTGCGGATGTATCCTCCGGAAACAGCGAATGTCGTGATACAAGTAGGGTCGAGCGCCTTTGGGACGATACGGCCACATTTGGCGAAGTCCATTGGGGACGTTGCAAAGATTCCGGCGGACGTATTATCTTCTCTCGGACCAGTCTGAGATTCAAACTCCATACCTTGGACCTTTACTCCCCATGCTAGAATTGAATCATCGGTTGTCTGCTCCATGATCTTAAGCTGCAGCCTCTCAAAGGCTTTGCGTCCTTCCCCATAGATCATGGGCATAGTAACGTTGAAGATTCCCAAGAGACAGTAGGCGATATCTTCATCCCTCTTCGTCGTCCTCTTTGACGCCCAGGACATACGCTGTGCAACACTCGCCTGATGAAAGTCGACCCAGCCGAGCAGAAATTTGCGGGAGATCCCCGTGATATCTTCAATTTCACTCGCCAGTTCTTCCTTCGTACCAATAAGGCTCCAAGTCTCATCGAAGAAGTGTATTTCTGCAGGAGCAAGGAGCTCCTGTAACGTCCACCCTCTCGTGAACCATGAGCTTGTGGAGAATCTGGATGTCGATTCCCAGATATCTTGTTCGTGAGGAACATCAGCCATGTATGTGTAACATATGGCGGCTCTTCGATACCACTGAAACATGGAATTGATAGCCTCGTCTAGC